ATCGGTCAAGCTCCGCGAAAATTACCTTTGGCAAAACAAGAAGAAGCCGAGAAACTTGTACGGAAAATGCTGGGTGACGGCGATAAAAAGGAATTAAACAGTCCATGGTCTTCGCCTGTAGTGCTAGTCACCAAAAAAGATGGGTCGACGAGATTCTGCGTTGACTACAAGAAACTTAACGATGTAACCAATAAGGACAGTTACCCGCTTCCACGAACTGATGATACGCTTACAACATTATCAGAATCCGTCTGATTTTCCACGTTAGACCTAAAAAGCAGCTACTGGCAAGTTGCTATTCATCCAGAAGATAAGGAAAAGGCCGCTTTTTGCCGAGAGCGGCTTGTATCAATTTACCGTAATGACTCTGTAACGCTCCGGCTACTTTTGAGAGGCTGATGGAGCTGATAATTACGAGGGCTAACATGGAAAACATGTTTGGTTTATTTAGACGACAGCATGGTAATGGGAAAGACATTTGAGAAGCACTTGACCAAAAAGAAGTATTTAGTCGAATGAAAGAGGCAAACTTGAAGCTGAATCCAACGAAATGCCTCCTCTCTCAAAAAGAAGTAGAATTTCTTGGACATACTCTTTCGGCGAACGGGATCAAGACTACGGGAACGAAGATCAATGCAATTCGCGATTGGCCAAGACCAAAAGATAGGTAAGCAGGAAGTCCGGAGTCTCAGTTTGATTGGACTGCTGAATGTGAAGTAGTCTTCAAACGATTGAAGAATGCACTATGCTCTAGTCCTATTTTGTCCTATCCCCAGTCATCGGGAATGTTCACTTTGGGCACAGATGCGACCAACGGAATAGGTGCTGTATTGTCACAGGTGCAGGACAAGGAAGAAAAAGTCATCGAGTACTTCAGCAGAATACTTTCGAAACTCAAGAAGAACTACTGTGCCACGAGGAAGGAGTTGCTGGCGATTGTCAGGGCTGTTGAACACTTCCATAAGTATCTCTATGGACGCGAATTCCTGATTAGAACCGATCACGCAACCCTCACACCGCTCCTTCAAATGAAAAATCCCGAAAGACAATTGGCTAGATGGCTTGAACGACTCCAACAGTATCAATTCAAAATTCGAGACAGGGCTGGTAAGCTTCACAATAATGCGGACTCCTTGTCGAGAAGACCGTGTAAGAATTGCAAACACTGCGACAAGATCGGGCAGCGTGAAACGTCGTTCAACGGTGGGAGGACAGCAGTTGTGGAAGATGAAGAATGAACTACGGTCCAGCTTAGAAAAGACCAAGACATGGATATCGGCGGAATGGGACTATTTGGCGCGGCCAACTTGGCGCGGCCGACTTGGCGCGAGCCATTTTGGCGCAGGGACACTTTGGCGCAAGACATCTTGGCGCGAGCCATCTTGGCGCGAGTACGTCGGTATATAATATTAAAAATATTTATTGTTCGTACTTTAGTTGGCACCCTGTTATTTATGCTAAGTGTAGGCAACCAAATACACATTTTCATTCGCACAAATTCCAATAACTAAATGATCCACGGAGCAAGAAGTACCACGTTTAGGAGTATGTTTATAACGGGGTGCAGGGCGCGAAGCGCCCGTGTGTCCATTAAAAAGTCGACATTACCCCTCCCCGCGTTGGAGACTATAAAAATTAGGTTATGGTAACAACGGGTGCAATTTTTGTATATTTATATCTATTTTTCTTGGTGCGAGTTCATTCGCGCCAAGATGGCTTGCGCCAAAGTGTCCCTGCGCCAAAATGTCTCGCGCCAAGTCGGCCGCGCCAAGTTGGCCGCGCCAAGTCGGCTGCGCCGAATTGTCCTAGACCGGGATATCGGGCCGTTGCTCAAATGGAAAGAAGATGGGGTAGAACAATCAGCTTGGTCAGAGATATCAGACGAGTTTCCCTCTTTCAAAGCGTTGTAGACTCAGTGGGACTCCCTGAGGGGGCGAGAGGGCCGATGCAACAAAACAACGTCGGTTCGCCTTTCGAAAGAATTGCAGTGGACATAGCAGGTCCTTTCCTGGTGACCGAGAAATAGGTACATAATGGTCGTCAGAGATTACTTCAGCAAGGCAGAAACTTCGAGTCAAACCTATTCCAAAGGGTTACTGAAGTACTAAGGATACAGAAGACACAGACTACACCGTTGCACCCGCAGTCAGATGGAATGGTAGAACGGTTCAGTCGTACCATGGAGGAACATCTCTGGAAGGTGGTGGCCGAAAGATTGGGATCGACATCTTCCACTGTTCCTACTAGCTTATCGATCAGTTTTCCATGACATGAACTTCGTCTGCCTTGTGACACCTTGTTCGGCTCTCCGAGTGAAGAACCAAAGGAGGTCATAGAGTACGTCGATGACTTGAAGGAGAAGCTGCTGAGCGTTCAAGATCCGGGTGGCGAGTGACACAATGAAAACAAGCTACGACCTTAAGGGTAACTCAGTAGGATTCCAGGCAGGAGATTTAATATGGCTTTATAATCCCCGAAGAAGAAAAGGTCGTTGCCCGAAGTTGTCACCGGTATCGTTTACAGAATTCGATGGTGGCCGAAGACGAAAATAAAGATCGTTCATTTAGACCGCCTCATGAAGTACGACAGTGACACGGTTTACGTTTCTGATCGGGACGATCAGAACCAAGGAGGGGGCAAATGTTACGAAATAAACCCATACGGCGCCCCGGTACGACGCCTATGGGTGTTCTAGTATGTATGTGTTGTATTGTAGTACGTCAGTGGCGGCTCGTGACTGTCTGATGTGGTGAGGCGATGATAGAAGTTTGACAATAATAGTAATATTACTTGGTCATACTAGTTAGTAATAATAGAAGTCTTGCCTGAGTACCGGTCATTCCCGGGTCAATGGTAGGTCCCAATAATAATAATAATAATAACACCCATAACACATTGAATCAACAATGTTTTTACAAGTTAAAATTTTGTTGAAAGTAGCACTTTCTTGGAGGGATTCGGGAATAGTTGCTGTGTTCTTTTCTAAACGTTTTAAGCCCATGAAATTTTTAATGTGTACTTTGGAACTTTCATGTAATTTTGCACTTCGGATGAAATTCTTTAAATTGTTATATCCTGGGATATTGTGTAAATATTACGGCAGAGCCATTTATATGTTTCGTAGGTACCAAGTTGATTTAAAAAACTTGGAGTACTGACGATTCTGTCGCTTATCAATGGAAGTTAAATGAATTAACGGTTTTGACTGTTCGATATTTAGCAAAATTTGCCGACGTTCTAGCTCGGTTCGCCGTGAAAACGGCGTTTCAAGAAGCAACATGACGATATCATACTCGGGATTCATTTTTCACTCACGTACACCTACGAAAGAGACAATAACACAAAACACCAACACGTGGGTTTTTATTCACGTTCATGCTAATTACCCACGCACCCCGCAACCCTACCGTTCTGTAAAATAAATGGAAAAATGGTTTAATGAGTACGCCGAAATTGGCCGAGAAGCACCGAAGATATCGCCTCAGTTCCGAGCGAACGGATGTATAGGAGTATGGGAGCTGAGTCATGGAAATCCGTGTCTGTGATTGGGCTTCGCTGGTTCAAGTGAACCGACGTTCTGGCCGCTTCAGTTAAAGAACTAGGAGCATAAATCGTACGGTATTCAACGAAAAATATCAGCAGGAAGCGTAAAAAATAAAAAATCATGTACAGATTTCCCATTTCAACATATTTTTGTAACTAAAAATGCATTGAAAACTCTTTTTTAATTATAAATTAAGTCAATCTGTTCTTAAGATATATGCTGTGAAGCGCCGCCTCACTTGCCTCATCTGACGAGCCGCCACTGTAGTACGTAGTATGATTCTTTGGCCAGGCGGCCCGGCATTCGCTACAGGAAGGCCTGGAAGCGGATGTCGACATGAGTAAAACTCAATAATTTATTTCTCAGTACTTAATACAAATTTACACGACTAACTAGACTGCAGAAATGTAACAGCGAATGATTTTCAACTCAACTTGTCTGATACTCATTAAGCGACTCGGCTTGATCATTATTTGTATTACAATCCATATAAAACATTTACTGATATCTAAATTTGTAGTTAAATGTTAACCATAACTTAGAAATATGTCACATTGTTCAATTATTAGTGAGAATATGGGATGTAATACACTAAAAACTGAACTGAATGGGCGTGACTGATATTACAAATAAAAAAAAGTCAAAGATCCACATCCTGCTGGCATTGATTTTTGTACCATACAAAACTATAGTTTTTATACCTCGAAAGTCGAAGCATCTTGTTACGAAATAAACCCATACTCCGCCCCGGTACGACGCCTATGGGTCTTCTAGTATGTATAAGTACGTTTTATTGCTCACCACCAGACTGGGTGGGGCGGAGAATTTTGTTCACCTCGAAGAAGTTTTGTTGTAGCGTTTTATTGCCGTCAATTTAGTTTACTTTAAACTCATCTGACAATCCCCTCCACCAACCATTCCAGGTCTCATTTGCCCGAATGAAAAGTTGCCACTGATGGCGTTGGAACGGTCCAATAAAACGCAGTGGAACTCTTTCTGATAGCGGAATTACATAAACAAAAACGCAGCTTATGTGTTTCTTCTAGTATGTAGTATGACTCATCGGCCAGGCGGCCCGGCGTTCGCTACAGAACAGCCTTGAACCGGAAGTCGCGAATGGGTGCTCCCGAGAAGTCTAAAAGCGGTGACTTAGGTTTTTTGAGAAGGACCGCGTGCTGTTTAAATCGGAACCACCGTCGGGAGCAGTTAGTGTAGTCCAAACAACGAGAGCTGAATTCAGTTAAAAAGTCGAGTCCAATGAGTGACGAAGAAAACCAGTGAAGTTGCGCCGGATTTATTTTGTATATAATTGCTGTAATAATTAGTCGTGTAAATTCGAGTTAGCAAGAAATAAATAGTTGATTTTATTCACCGATAAATCGTAACTATATATTTCTTGCACTTCGTAGCACTCTGCAGGGGGCAAATTAGTCAATAAAAAACTGCTGTCGTTTTTTTCCTTACTTTATATTTTGAAAAGAATGATCATATTCACAGGGATATTTTTTAAATAAAAACTATGTGCACTGTTATCCAGTGTAGCAATTAATTTAGATACATAAGACAATAATTAACTCAACGTTGTGGAAAATACTACCGAACTACTATTATGTTTTAACAAGCTTTGTACTTTTCTTTCAATTGTGAATAGATGTTCATCGACAACGTCTGGTGCAATATTTCTCATAGCTTTTGCTAAATTGAAGACATATTCAACATTAGTGCCACTAGGTCCCTTAGAATTCACTACTTGATGTGCTATAACATCTTCATCTGCAGGTCCTGCATACTGTGGGTTATCATTATCAGCTACATAAATAATTATTTCAAAAGGATCTTTAACTTTGTCTTTTGGATAAAAAAGTATTGGAGTTCGTACATAGCCTCCTTTCTCTCGGTAATCCAAATGGTCTATCACAATAGCTCGATCTTGTTCACTAATCTGATAAGCAATGCCATAGACCTTGTCCTGAAATTGTTTCTATTATCAAAAAAAAAACATTTTTAATGAACTTACTGTTTCTGCCCCTGGCACCAGAGTTACCACCCGTCCTGGCTATAATTTACATTGATTATTTTTGTTAAAAAGTGAATTCATTCACCTTTCCAGGAATTCCTCGATGATCTACACTATGTTGATAGAATTTTCTTTGAAATCCGCTGATGTAACCAACAATTTTTGTCACGTACGGAAAATCTACTTTCCAAATCAAAGACCCATAACCAAAAACCCACATCTTACTAAAATCAAAATAATACAAAATCAAATCGCAGAGGTTAGTACAGAGTGGGTAAAACTTTACAAAATTCACTACTCGATTTCGCACAAACCGTTTGCACGAAACTGTTCTACAGCACCCCCTGATCACGTTCCTCACCTTCAAATGTTGTGCAAATACTTCCTTGTGTCTGATGGTGTCTGAAAAAAATATTTTAGTGTTCGCAATTTCGCACTTCGCACTATGGTTCACACCTGTGATTCGCACCCTATCAGTTGCGCCAAATATAGGCAACCAAATACACACCCAATTTTCCTAAATAATTCACAGCGCAAGAAGTTCCACGTTTAGGAGCATGTTTGTAATGGGGCGCAGGGCACGAAGTACCCGTGTGTCCATTAAAAACCAGGCATTAAACTATGACGCTTTTCTATGTATCGTGCCTATGCAAGTTTTTAATTTTTTATTTTAGAGGATTGCTATGTTGCCACTGGTAGTTATTTCTGAAAATTTTGCGGCGTTGCTGGTTCTTTAAAAAAAATTTAATAAATAGCTTCGGGTATTTTTTTTTTCAGATATTTTTCGAATATCTCCTATCACTTGGGTGGCGACATCTAGAAATAGTTTAGGCAACAACCACCAATGACGGCTTCTACTTCTACAGTAGACAAACGACACAATTGTCCTAACCTCGTTCTTGTGTAATTTTAATTATCTACAATTTGCTAGTTACGTTCGTTAAGGCCCAGTTATGTTTGTTTCAGAGTAAGTGTAAGATTTAAAAGAATCTAGTCTATTTTGAAAATTGCAGTGAAATGGTAATTGCGGCTCTCGTGAAAGATGCCAAAAGGTTCAAAAGCAAATGGGAATTACACACAGGTGAAACTATCCGATCAAAACCCAATGTAGTTTTTCTTAAAAGAACTTTGTCCAATGTTGTTAAAGTAAATCATGATTTAATGCGAAAACCACACAATGTGGAAAGTATGCATAGTACTTTGAATGAAAAGATAAAAGAAAAGGAAATTGAGAAGAGTCCAAAGAATGGTAGAAAATCGCCTTCTAGAGTGCCTAAAAAATCAAGAGAATGCTCCAAATCAAAATATCAGACTGCTAAAAATAAAAGTAAGTCAATGAACTCCTCACAGCAAAAGCGGAAGAAAGTCTAAGTGGAGGTCATCTCCAAAGGGATATTTTGTATATATTTAATGACCTACATAAGTACTTATTCACAAACATATTTACGTTGTTACATATAGCTTTTAATTGTAGGTTAAACTCATTTATGTCCTGTAAAATGACATTCGAGTGTATTTGTTTTTGATGTCACACATATAGGTTACTGTAAAATAGTACATAAGGTTTAAGGTCCAATAAAAATTCATTTTCCATCGCTCTTTTCTGAAGCGCATACTAATTTGCTCTCGCGGTCAGTTTTGGCCCATCACTAATAAGTAAATTGGGTCCTGTCCTCCACTGGGCAAGGCAGGTAGAATTAGAAGGGATTATACAGAACTGTTTTCACGAAATTGTTATGATACTATAAATTATTTAATTTTTATTTCAAAAATAAAGATTTCCGGTACGTATGAATGGGTGTCAACCCACAATACTGAAATAAGGAACAAAGGAAATTTTTTATCACTTATTGTTTATTACTCCCCGAGCGTAAGCTAAGGAAGTATAGTAATTGAGTTTATATTTTCTCGACGCGTGATGTGTGTGAGTACGAAAAAAGTGATCTCCCGTTTCCGTCTGTCTGTCTGTTGATGTGGTGTCTGTATCCATTCTTATTAGACAAATAATTTCCAAAGCGATTGTTGTCATATTTTGTATGTATATTAGGAATATCATGTAGATGGTTCAACGCTAACTAAAATTTGGCTAATCATCCCCACCACCAGTGGGATGACGTCATTTATAATAAAAAGTTTTTTAAATTTAACAAAATAAGATACGGCTGCCACTTGTGGTATGTGAATCCGTGTCGAATTTTCACCCTAGACTCTTGAAATAGCTACCGACAGAAAAAATAACTTACACCGTTGAGTGTGGTTATAAAGAAATACAACAGTATAATATGTAACTAAGAACATCAAAAATCATCGAAGAGACCTGGGACAACACGTGTCATATTCATCCCTTCAAAACATCAGGATTTGGGAAACTATTCGTTTAGCATAAAATTTTATCTGCCAACAATAGCGTTTACCGTATCTCCACCCCATCGTCAGAGGCTAAATATCGTCATAAATTTTTTTGAAGTATATCCTAAACGAAACGAGCATATTATAAATGATATGACATGACTGATGATTAAAAAAAGTTTAGAATCAGCAAGACTGTCTGTCTGTATCCAATTTTATTTGACACGTAATCTCCGAAACTGCTGTTGTCAAATTTTGTATGTATATTAGAGATATGTAGATGGTTAAACACTAACCAAAATTTTGCTAATCATCCCCACCAACAATTTGGTGATGTTATTTCAAAGAACATTTATTTGATCTAACTGTTATACAACGATATACTCCTATACGTGTGGTGTATGAATCCGCCTTGAGTTTTTCCCTAACCGTCCAAATTTTCGCAAAAACATAGTGCATAGTATAATCGTAACAGTTTACCATCAGCGTAATATATCCCGATCATGGTGTGGTGGATAATAGTTGGGAACGCGGACCGGAGGTCCCACGTTCGCTGTCAATTTTTGATCAAATTAAGAACGAGTCACTCCATTTTCTCGAAAGGGTGAGAATACGCCCGTCTTTATTTAATAAAAATTATAATAATAATATTCAGAATATTTAATTACTTTCAGTCCCCAGTTTTGAGGAGACAAACTCATTCAAATCAAAACAAATTTCTAGGTGACATTCTTTTCAATTCAAGTCTAATTTTATAATTTTTCAAAGAGGCGAGGGAAGTTCTATTGAAATAAACTTTGACCAATTTTTTTGCTTCAACTTAGACTTTGGTCGGTTAAGTAAATCTATCTTGTATAACTTATCTGAATTCAAAATTTCAGTTATTAATTTTGGTAACTTAACTACATACATATTTTCTAAAAAAAAAAACTTTACAGAAAAAGTTTATCCAATTCAAGTTAAATTTGGACCAATAAATTTTACCATTTGTCTCAAGCTTACATAATATCAGATGCTAACATGGATTTAAGAGTTACGAACTATGGACTAAAATTTATTTTTTCATCGCTTCTAGAAAATTAAATAATGCCATAAAAATTAGTAAATTTTAAGTACGATGTACTGGATAATATTCCAAAGTATCTAAAAACATCTGAGGCGCGTCAGGTAACCATGAAATCAGACATTTACGAAAATAACCGTATTGCAATACTTGCCGTAGCGGGAAGTAACAGTACACTTTTAGTTGGGTTGATACAAAAACACAAAAAATATGCCTTTCAGGAGCTTTAATTATATATTTTGTCGACCTTAGGAAACTTTAAACAAATGATTCCTCATCAAAGGAAAGTCATAATTTCTGTAAAAAAAGCAAAGCCCCCACAGGGGGAGCGATTTACGTAACTTCATGATTATATCGTTCCCCAATTCTGGTAAGTTGAAAACGGGAAATAATTTTAGATTAAGAGTGTTAATAGTCCAAACAGGTGCCTCCTTTTGTACCTTTGTTTTTGCAATAACTATGGCCTGACGTAGGCACCTATTTGTACTGGATGTCCTACGCTATAAAAATAAAACATAGACACAGATAAATAATATCTATTGATGCTGACTAGATAGTGCTACATTGATTTTGAGCCAGCATTGTCGAGAAGGTTGGGTAAATTGAATATTTCTTAATAAATAATATACAGATCACATTTAGGATACATCACCTTCACAAATTATAATACACAATATACTGTGTAATAAAATTTATGACTATGAAATATTCTGTTAAACCAACCAGTCTTTGGTTTATGCTCTTCACATTCACAACAAATAAATAGGGTACGCGACAAAGCAGATATGAACTATCACGAAAGCTCAGCGTATTGTGCAGAGCGCATGTCTTTGCTTGTATTGTCTTCAGTCTGTAGAACTTATACTAACCATAAAAAATATATTGATCTGCGACCCAAGCACGATCAAACTTAAAACAATTCCCAAGGACAGTTCAATATCAACTACAAGTAGGCACTTTCGGACCTTCAATTTGTTCAAACTAGATATACACAGGATTCTCCTGGCCGGTCAGCAGTCGGAACATGGACGTCGGCATAGTCTTCATTAGAATCTGAAAGTGAATTTTATTTAGTACAAGACTGCATCGACGTAGGGATTCATCAACAACAATCACGGGCCTCGTACAGCTCAAATGTCAGTTAACATTTTTTCAATACGTCGATCCTTGGTAATAGTGATAATAGTAAATAATAATAATAGCAAGACAGTTAAACTCGAGTTACACTAGTGGTGGCTCTTAGTTTATTATACTGTAGGGTCAATTATATATACACCGGGATTTTTGGAATCTTCATTTTCCTCATGTTCTTCTCAACGCCAATTCAAATGCATCACAAAATTTGATAAAACCTACAATTTTCGATAGCGATTTTTTTTTACGTTTTCATTGTGTTGATGAACTTGTCCATCACATAATTTATAGTCGGATTCGAGGAAGTAATTACGTCTTGAGATTTTCCACATAAAAACAATTTTCCTATTAAACTATAAAGATAAATTCAAATTTTTATGAACTAGAACTTCAGTTAAACTAAATGTATTGTTACAAAATAAACCCACACACCGCCCCGGTACGACGCCTATGGGTTCTAGATGTACGGCGACGATGACGCGGCCGGTTGGCATTCGCTACAGAAAAGCCTGGAAGCGGAACTCGCAACTGGTATTTAAGAAAGACCACGATCGCCGACATCTAGAAGGAAGTTTGAGTTTAAATAGAGGCCACGATTATTATTTAGTTAACAAGTCGAGTCCAGCGAGTGTTGAGAAGCCAGCCAAGTTGCGCCGGAATTATTTCGTACATAACCGCTGTGTAATCAGTTGTGTAAATTCGAGTTATTAAGAAATAAATTGTTGAGTTTTACCCATGCCGATTTTATTCACCAATCAACGTAACAATGGTGTCGGAAGTGAGATTTGAGATTAAAAACTGGTTTTCTGACAACTTGCGGGGAAATCGGACAAGAATTCTGAAGAATTTATGCCTGTCGAGACGAGAGCTCAAGCTGCGAAAATGGTGTAACAAGTAAAACATGATGGCTATGCTTGCAGAAATGAAAAAAGAAATGGATGAAAAAATGGATGCAAGAATGGAAAAAATGGATGCGAGAGGCGAACAAATGAACGCAAGAAACAAAGAAATAGACGAAAAGATGGAAATGATGGACGCAAAAATAGACAAGCAAAAAGATGACATAATCACCAGACTAAATCAGAAATTTCAAATGGATATAGAAGCAAACCAGAATGAACTAGAATAAATCAAAGAAATGAAGGACGTAAAAACAAATTTGGAAAATATGGGAAATATTGTCGGACCAAATGTGATCTTAATGGAGCATCAGTTGAAGAGTGAGTTAGAAAAATCAGTTATTATCGATCCCAGTGAAAAACCAAAGGAGGTCATGGATTACGTCCGTGACTTGGAAGGAGAAACTGCTGATAGTTCACGAAACGGTGCGTCATAAGATCGGGGTGGCGCGTAACACAATGAAAACATGCTACGACCTGAAGGGTATCTCAGTAGGATTCCAGGCAGGGACTTTGGTATAGCTTTATAATCCCCGAAGAAGAAAAGGTCATTGACCGGGAAGGTCCATATACTGTCGTGACAAGAATCAACGATGTAGTTTACAGAATTCGACAAGGGCCGAAGACGAAAATGAAGGTTGTTCATTTAGACCGCCTCATGAAGTACAACAGTGACACGGATGACGTTGCTGATCTAGACGATCGGAACTAAGGAGGGGGCTGTGTTACGAAAGAAACCCATACGCCGCCCCGGTACGACGTCTATGGGTCTTCTACTACGTATGTGTTTATTCTGGTATGTACGGCCTGGAAGCGGAAGTCGCGAACGGCAATCCAGAAAGATCCCGACCACGCACATCTAGAAGGAAGTATGGCCACCTTCCGGAACGATTATTATTCAGCCAGTCCAGTCAGCAAGTCGAGTAGAGTGAACGAATGCATTCAAGTTGCACTACGGAGTTATTCTGTAATAGTTAGTCGTGTAATTCGAGTTATTCGATTTTTAATTACCCGTTCAAAATAACAATATTATATACTATATAATATACTATATTTTTTTGTATTCGTTTCTTTCTGTAAACGAATTAAGCATTGTCGAACTGTTGTGTCGGTGTTATTTTTCATAATACATGTTTCGTTGCGTGTGTTTTTGAAGTGTTGCACAATGTCTGGTTAAATTAACCAGTTGATGTTCTATCAATTTATTCATAAATGTCCCGATAAACATAAATATGAAACGTGAAATAACAATCTTACTCACTTCACCCACAGACGTCGCCAGCAAATTGACGATCTTCTCATGCGGTACCGCAACTACACTTTGGTTGTTGATTTCAATTATCCGATGTCCGACTCGAACTCCTCCTCTTTCAGCGATTCCTCCACGCAACAAGCTGCATATCTATAAAAGCGTATTTGTCGCATAAAAGTAATGTACTATACGTATACTTACGACTCCATTTTGAACACTGAAGCCTAACTGATATTTAGTATCCGGTCTCTTAATTTTTACTTCAACTACGGGGGCACAAGGTACGACGGTTAATTTAACTACAGTCTGGTTTTTAGAGTTTTTAATATAATTCTGACATGTCGATAATGGAAGGCCAACAAGACTAACTCCGTTAATAGCGATTATTTGATCACCGATATTTAGTTGACCACATCGTGCAGCAGCTCCTGAAGGAGCTAAATTCGCGATTACCACGGTAGGCAACATTGAACCCCAACCAGATTCCACAATGACGACGCCCAAAATTTCGCCTTTGGCTTTGGGCACGACGACCTCTTTTTGCATTTCCTTCTTAGCGAACATTTGTAATTCATCTCCAAAAATTTCTTGCGAGTTGAGAACTTCTTGGTAATCCATTTCTTTTACAAAACTGTGATCTTCAATTCCATTCGCTTTCAAAAACTCCATGTAGGCTACTTGGAAAGCTTGACCTATAGATTGAGCAATAAATTGGGCTTCTTCACTCTCAAATACGTGACATATCATTTTTGGTGTTCGATTAATTTTTGGAACATCTTCCATTTCGTGGGGTACGAATCGCCTACGTGCCATCAGCACAACTAAATCGCCTATGTCAGCAATATAAGAAATCGTTCGTAGTGCATGATCCATCATGATTTCTTTTAAATCGGTATTTAAAACCATTATCTTTTCAGTGGAAATAAATAAATCGACTTCGGTACTAGGTTGGGTTTCACCATCTGGTGCCTGTGAAAAGAATGACAAAAATAACTGCTGTGTATATTTAAATAGAATTTTAACGACTTACCAAAGCCTAATAAGGCACCGAAAAGCAGCGATGAAAGATAAAAAAAAATGTTAGTATGTAAGCAAGAAGATCACATACACAATCAAAAGCTACTTATATAACATGCAATCATATTTGGTTATTTTCATTTCCATAAAATCAGTATATTACTGAACGTAAAAACTATCAACAGACCTTAATTTTCGTAACTGCGACTTCGACCATATTTTTCTTGAGGCGTTTTCGACGTTTGCGACCCCCTTCCTCATCCACCTCAACCGAACCCAGAAAATGCAGACGAAAAACTGTTCCAGTAGCACCCACTCCCAATGGCAGCGTATTGGGGTTGAACACTCGAGGTCCTACAGAATTACTTTTCAAACATTGCAATTTTGTTTTCGAGGTTTAATTACGAATGGAAACATATATAAATATATATCGTTCAAATACAAAATAGCAATGTTTGGAAAAGCTCACCCGATATAGGCTGCACGGTTGTTTCAGTAACCGAAGGCTCTGGTTCAACAGCAGGTTCATCATCATCAAAACTAGCATTTTCCGGAATACTCGGGTCATATTGGTGCCCACAATTTTGAATCATTTGGTTGGATGCCTCCTGCAAGTTTATTTTGTCATATGTGCACTTATTACGGGCACAATTAACCGATGGTCTACTTTTGTCTATCTCTAACAACAGAAAAATGAACACATAGGGCCTTTATGAATAAAACAACATACAGAAATATAGAAAAATCCACATAATGATCTTACACAAGTGCAGTTGTCTATATACACTTTAAGAGAACATCCAAAGCATAAATGGATAGAAGGGAGTGCGACAATGTGAAATCCAAGATCAGACATGTAGCAGGCAACCAACCAAATAGAGCACATTAAGCGTGCACCACGGCACTGCGAAGTCGAGAGTGGGGGAAGGGGTCGTGAATAATTTATCTTACTCGCCATTATATCACCCACTCTTCGAAATATTTTACAAAAGGATAAAATAGAAATCCATCCGTGCTGGTTTCTAAAGACATGCCGTATTCATGCCTTTCTCTTTTCCAAAAATTTTATTTTCATCTTTTATGCAAATGAAAATGTACACTTTATGATTTTGATTATTGTTTTCTGTTACTAGTGCATACAGATTTTGGGACTTGAAAAAAGCATGCATTACCTTTATTCGAGATACCGCTTCCTCAGCTTGCATCATCCTCGTCGTTTTCGTTGGCTGTCCCTCACAAACGAGCTGAGTCGATCCCAAATATCTCGCCCGAAACAGAACTCCTTCTATTAATACTGATCGTTGAATAACATCTGCAAAAAAAAAATAGCAATAACATAAATATGTAAAAATAAACAAAAAATTCAAAACACCAGCTCAGTTACTCGATACGACGTAATATTTAAACTTACCATCAAATTCCAAATGTATTGCAAGTTAAATAAAGTAGTTATTTTATAGTTACTAAATTAAACCAAAACAAAATACTTACCTTCTTTGTTTCTCCCTTTCTTTTTATTGTCTTTTTCCTGAAAATAAAGATGCCTTTAGAAATATCTTATAAATAAAATAAGGTGGCGTACCGAAAAAAAATAAAAACTAAAAATGCGTTATTTACAAATCAAGGATGCATTATTATAGCTCCTTCCATTCAATTTTTATTTACATTATTAAGATGATTAAATGATGTACGAAATACTTTTCGCATTGATATGAAGTTTGACGTTATTTTAACCTCTTAAAGAAACTACTTGCGCATAACCTAGTTTAGTGTTAAAGTAACGCCACTGCAAAATGTGTTGTCGTCGTTTTTTTTATGTTGTTTTAAGTATTTGATACATCGCAGATACATGCATTTACCGCAGTTGTTTCTCAACGGTTTAATCTATTTTTAGTGAGGGATCTATCTGCATGACATTATAGGAAATTATCACCTTTGTAAGGTTAGTATCAAATAAAAAGAAATTTACAAAGCTTTAACTAATCTAGAAGAATCTATACATGCCAGGCTCACACCTTTTTAACTTTACTTGACGAAACGGATCCCTTCTGACTTTGGGGCGACTGGCTTTTTTCAGATACAGCTGTGGGTGAGGAGGGGTTTGAAATTTGAGGTTCAGAAGGAACTAGGGGTAATGTTCCTTCATCCATTGCATTTAACATTTGTTTGGGATTGGAAAGACTATGTGAAGGCATTATTGTCCGACTTTTAGGTTTTCTCCAACCCTACCAATACAAAGATTTGGTTAAAAGGAAGATTGTAAATAATCACGATTTGTTAATATTAACCAATACCATTTTCATATGTCCTAATTTAATCCAGTTGCAGCAAAATCGCAAATCATGCACTTCACTAAATTTTCGTGACTACTCTGGACATGAGACAAAAAATCACTAAGAAAACTACTTATACAGGGTGAGTCACCAAGCGCGCCATCCCCGATATATCATTAATTATTAGGCTTTACAACCACAGTTTACTTTTGAAATTTCGATGCGACGTTGCCACGTTATTGCAATTTTCTTGAAATTTTTTGGTAAAGGGTTCGCAAAAAAAAAACGCAAATAGGGCTATTTTTAGTCGGTCTTACAATTAAGATAAACGCTTTGTTGTAATATCAACTACATCAAATTTTAATACACAGGGTATTTATAAAAAAATTTAAAACTTTACAATTTTCAAATATCGATATTTCAGATTTTTCAAACGGAACACCTGTATTTTATTTCTGTATAGTACTCTATTTTTTTGTCTTCATTCTTATATAATGTCAATAATATGTTTCTTAAAATCGCAGTAACAATCAACTTTAAATAACAAAAAAGAAAGAGAACAAAAAATAGAATAAGATGCCGAAAAAACTGAAATATCAATATTTGAAAATTGTAATAATTCAAACATTTTTTTTTAAACACTATATGAAAATTTAATCTCATTCATACCACAACAAAACGGGTACCTTTTTTTACTCTCCACAAAATGTTGTAACACAGAGTTTAAAAATACCCCTACTGTGATTTTTTTGCAAACCCTTCCTGTGCCAAAAAATTTCAAGAAAATTGGAATCACGTAGCAACGTCGCACGGTAATTTCAAAAATAAACTGTGGTGGTAAAGCATAAGAGATCAGTTAAGATACGTAAAGATATATAGGGCGTTTCACTTAAAAAAACAAAGTTGTGTTACGGGTCAAAAACAGAACACTTTATATATTCGAAATAATTTTAGAGTATAGTCCTCAAAGAATCGTAGAACTTTGGTCTTTTTTTTATTTCTAATAATTAACGATGGATATCGAGGAAAGTGCCCTTAGTGACTCAGCCTGTATATAATATATATAAGTATGCCCCTGGATTGAGTTTACAAGAGGAACTTTTTTTTATTTGTTATTTTACAGAACAAAATCAACGGAATAAAAACTTTAGCTTGACTTAAAATACATATTTCACCTACAAAAAACTTTTAAATAATGCAATTTTTTTAAATAAATAAATTTTTATCCAGAACAAGACAGTTAACCAGTATGTTATTAATAAATTTAATAAAAATTTTCGTATATATTTATGTGTCGAAAATTGCAAAAAAAACTACACACTCACTAAATTATGTATTAAGAAAAGCAAGTTTTTTTTCCTTTGATATTTTTTTAGAAAACCACAAATAAAAATGTTTTTCCTTCTGTAAACTAAATCTGAAGAGATGCACTATATATATACATAACAAAAAAAGACTAAGTTGGTACCGACCTGATGAAGTTGTGAAATAAGAAAAATAAAAAGGATTCAATAAAAACTGCAAGAATACTTCCTAAAAAAATTAAATTAACACAACTTACCTTTTCATCATAAAAACTTTGATCGTCTGTTCTTTGTTGACCCAATAACCTATCCGTCTCTAAATCGGTATCATTTTCTTCTGAAAATTGTTACAAAAATTACTCTTAACAACTCAACTTCGCTATAAAATACCTTCTTCCCCGCTGTTTACTTTTCTATCGGAATCACCGCTAGCCGCCGACATACCCCTTTGTCTTTAATAAAATAAATAATAAATAAATAAATCAAGCTTTATTAACAACCCGTGATATAATTTATTATAGGATATTATCGCAATTACCTTGGAACCCATATAGGGCTGACCGCGTTTTCTTCACGTTCTTCTTTGGGATGGCCTTTGAGAGGTAGGGTTTTTGTTCTTTGTAGCGTTAATCTTATATCTTTAATGGCAGCTTCTACTTCGTTTGTCTTTTCATTTTGTAATAAGCGGTGAGGAGCGGGTGCTGGAGGTGGTGGTGTCTTTTCTACTAACAAACGAGTTCATTAAAAATTCGGACGAATAACTGTTTTAATACCTAAAGAATCCATCTGGGGCAAAAGATGAGTTTCTCCAAAATTGCTGACGCACCCATTAACGTCATTTGGTGACGTACTGATGCAATCTTTCTTAGGAGATAATTCCTTTTCATCGTTTCTGTTATTCACCTGTTTCGATTTGCATATTCCTTGGTTAATTTCGCGTTCGATTTCTGTTATTTGTCTTTTCATGAGCATTACTGTAGGGTTATTGTTGTCAGTGTCACTTGCATGACCAGATGACAAACCATCTTCAAGAACTGGCATACTAGAGTATAAGCGTAATGAATCACTTGGAATAGCTAAATCTGTATTTGATCCTGAAAGAATAAATTGTAAATTACCACGTGGTGTAGTTAACGACAAGGAAAAATAAATACACAATATTTTTGTTTTACTTGGGCCGTTCTTGATTAGATGAATAAAATAAGTTTTCATTCTTTTTTTTGAGTCCTGTATAAGCAATTCTAAACCATCAGTCGTCCGGTGCACACGATTACAATACTTCTTTAGCTTACGCTCAAAAAGTAAAAATTGGGGCAAAGTTATTTAGTTCAGGTAAAGAAGCATGCTATGCGTAGTTTCAAGTGAGTTTTTCTATAATAAATTTTGTGATGACGTCATCAACATTTTTGTAAGGACAGGTATATCAATTTGGGAGATGCAGTGTAACAGTAATATTGACAGTACTGTATTTCCAAATTTTCAGGAAAATGGAGTGAGTCGCTCTTGATTTAATCAATAAAATAAACTACCTCATTGATTCATTCATTTTTTTTTAGGAATCAGGCATAAGTGATTCTTAACAATGAGTGCATTAATAAACCACAGATATAAATTTATAACATTATGCATATTTTAGAGAGAATGTATTCAGATAAATTTTGAACAACGTTTTATCATGCTTCACAGATTCATTAACCACAAGTGCAGAAGTATTTTATTTTATATAATTTAAATAAGATTTACTATTGTAAAATTTGAAAATTGTCATTCCGTCGTTGGTGAGGTTGATTAGCCAAATTTTGGTTAGCGTTTTATCTACACGACATTCCTAAATTACATACATATAAAATTTAACAACGATCGATCCAGTAGTGTCGAAGATTATATGTCCAATGAAAATCGACACAGACAAACGGGAAATCTATTTTTTCGTACTCTACAGTAGTCACCCAATTAACTCGATTACAATACTTTAGTTTACGTTCGAGAAGTAAAAAGTAAAAAACAAGAATATCTTACCTAGTAGACCGCTTGAAGGTCCCAATTCATTTTCCATTAACATTAAAGATACTTCACTATCTAAATCGCCACAATTCGAATCGCAATCGGTGGTTTCAGGAGATAAAGTGAAATTTCTGCTATGTCCTACTTGCAATCCAACTTCAGTTTCGCCGAGATCGCCGCTGGAACCGGTACCGATTGAAAGATCCAAAAAGTTATTTTCGTATTCAGTCATATCTTGATCCTGAAAAATGTGAACTAAATATTGTTCTAAAAGTCTTTCATCAACCAACCTGTACATTTGTAACGGGATTGTTGAAACATTTTCGTGGTGAATCTATTCTCATACAAAAATCGCTCTGTTCTCCTCTACCTTTTGCAAGCCTCTGTCCTACGTAAGAATTGCCAGAATCACCACCTTGACGTCGCAACTCATATTCTAGATCTTGAAATTCAACTTCTAGACGATTTTCTTCGTCTGGAGGTGGACATTTGAAAAATTCCTCCAATACTTTCCTGGTCTCCGAAAATTCATAAAGATAGTCAAAAGTAGATGTAGTGGTATTTGACGTAGTGGTAGGAGGAGGCGATGCTTTTTTCTGAGAAAAAAGTGCCATTTTAAGAATTTATTTATATAAAATGTCGGTATATCATTAAGTACTATTTTCACGATGACTGTGTGTGTGTGTGTGGAAAATGGAAAAGAATTTGTAACTTTGAAACGTTCAGTATTTGTTGCACGACAAGCTGTAAGTAAACATTAGTAATATATCAACTCACATTGAACGTGCTGTTTTCAGTCGTGGGACTTGTTTCGCTCTCGTTAGGACTCGGAGTATAGACGACCCTTTGGGGAAATCCCGGCCTAGGCGGATATACACTTGGGGAAGCTAATAAACTTTGTGCACTAGGAAGTTGTGGATGTGAAAAGTTAGTTTCCATTTGCCTAGGTCCGTATCGGCGTGGTGATCCTTCATAAACAGCAATAGGTAAATTTCCTATAATTTTGGTAACTTTTTCGACATCATCGCCTGAGTTGAATAAATTAGTGGCAGTGCGATTGGAATGATCCTCCCTTTTATTTTCATCGACATGCCAATTCTCGCCGATATCATCAAAAACCACAACTTCTCCTGGAAAAGTCATACTTATATTGGGACTCGAAACGTTGTCCGTCGAATCTCTCCGTTTTTCATTTTGCTGATGAGTCACCGAACATACTTCCGATGAAAAAACAGTTTCAGTATATTCTCGTGAATTTTTTAATTTTTTGGCATCATTACTACGGCCCCGTAATTCCCAAACGCCTTGTCTCATTGGTGATTTTTGTATTTTCTTTTCACCATCTTCACCAACTCCGGAGTTTCGTGATTTCCTTACCGCTTTACTGCGACTTTGAGAGAACAGTTCCCTACCACCAGCAATTTCGATTATCCTAAAAATATATTATTATTTCCAATGATGAAGCTTTAAATGATTGCAAATTTTAGAACTGTAACAAGATGTTGTACCTGGAATCACGTAATTTATACGTTCCTCCGGTATGCTCACGTTCTATTATAATATCTTCATCATCAGTCGAGTGTAGCTGACTCACATTATCTCTACTGATGTTACAGGAGCTTTCGGCCACCCATCTGACAAACCAATTTAGAAATAAATAACATACAACACCACTTTTATTAACTCCCTGCAAAGATATTCCTAACTTGCCGCTTATATGCTTTAGATTTACTGATAAATTTACTAAATCTACATCAGGAATTATTACGGGATACTCCTAATCTTAAATTTTATCGAAATTTAGTTAATAATGTAACAATATTATATTAAATTAAAAAAAAAAAAAAACGTGCTCACTACACCGCAATTTATTATACCTATATCACATCAATCTACTCTCGTTATAAAATGTACCGTTCGTGAAAACGTAATGATTTCATATTATACTTAAACCGTACACTATTTTGAGTACATCTAACCCTTCAGATAGACTAAAAAGTCCAATGTAATAAAAGATTTTTGTTAACTTTCAAGTATTGGGTGAAGCAGACGAATCTAATTAGTCTGTCGGGTAACACTTTGAATGCACATGCAATATTTTCTGTTATGATATGCGATAAAAGCTAAAATTAATGGTATATTAAATACATGTATTCACTTATAATTTGAGGTTTAAAGCCACTGCAAATTTTAGGAACTCATGTAGGGGAGAGACGAGCACTATGTCACATTTTGGTGATGCAGAATCAATCAAACGTTTTTTAGCTGTAAGAACCCAATTTTTTGAATTATAAACTGGATCACAGTAGTTTTTGCTTCTTCGGCGATCACCAATGTAACAATCATTTTGACAAATATCTAGTTTGAAGGGTACAGTGGTACAAACATTAAATTTGATCTCTAGTGGTTGAAAACTGTTAGTTTTAACCTTACTTTTATCGCATATCACTATCTCTACCAAAAACGAGAGATGTTACATAGGCATCAAATGACTCCGTGCAAGTATTCAAAAACACTATTTAGATATTAAAAAAAACGTAATTACCTATTCTACTAAAAAAATCACATATGACATCAAACTCAAACAGTTGATACCGTTATAAAAACATAGAATTAAGTAAATTATTTGACCTGTTCCAGCGCTTTTTGGTGAAATATTGTTAATTTTTTAACTTCTGGAATAAATTTTAATTAACCGGAAGTGATGGCCACACCATATTTTTTATACTTATTTTGTTCGATTTGTATGACTCACAATACTTGACAAACCCAAAGGATTCAATTGCTTTTCCTTCTTTTTTTATGAAATTGTTAAATTTACTGTCAATTTTGTCATTAAGCTGCATAGTTCAAAATATCTTTTCAGAGTTTAATTATTGTGTAAATGTTTATGTACATATACAGGGTCTGTAAGGTTAAGTGCGCCAGATAAATAGCCTAAAAACTGTATAAAGTAATGCCTATGAAATAAACACTTAAAAATTATATTTTTCTGCGCTTTAAAAATTATAACATGTTTGCAGACTTGTGATATGTGGGCGAATTTATAAAACAAAACAAAACTCGTGATGTCACATTTTATCCCTAGTTAGTACCGCTTAACACCAGGTTGGCAAATTAAAAAGAATATGTAGTATTCATGTCGAATTCTTCCGAGTATATGGAAAAACTTTAAAAGTGAATAACAACGGTTTGCAAAATAATTTAAAATTTTAAGCGACCCTGTATATGGTAATTTTCGTGTTTTTTTAGACACAACAGGGTAATCAGTTGCCTTCTTTCAATAAAGATTATTCAGACTATTACCTGTCATTGTCACTGTCGATATTCATTACAGTATTGGTGATGTTGTCTGTACATTCATTTTCATGTCCCGGAGCAATAATTGGATTAAGATTAATATCGCTTCTTGGTCGACACTTTGGAAACAATTTGCTAATTTGTTCTGTATTTTCACTCACATCCACATTATCTAATGTGAGAGTCAAACTGGTCATTGCTACTTAAAGAAAATTTCCATTGATTTAACGTCTCTCAACCTACGGATTATTTCCACTTTTTATTTTAAATACGAGCACAAGATAAACTGAATTAAAACGAAAGTAAGGATAAGAAACCACCCCTTTTTGGCAATTTCAATGAGGGGAAGTAAATGAGTCATCAGTTGGGAAGCACATTGTTTATTGTATTGAATTACACGTACTGAATTTAAAATGAATAACTTTCTTCTGACACAATGTTTTAAATTTGATTGTTTTAACACAAAGTTATATTAAAATGTGCATTAAATATACACAAAGAGTTTAACGTTTATTACAGGTTTTTATCTAGTTTTAATGTGATACTTTTCTTATTTACGTGCCGTCAAATACTCGCGGTGATGAAAGTCTAGGATACACTTTCTCACAACTGAGCAGTTCCAACCCAAAATCAATATTTGAACAAGCGGCGCAGAAAATTAATTATATACGAGAAACAGTCTTTATATGTATTACCGATTGATAACGTTAGACATGTATTACTTTAGCACAATTTTAATATACATGGTATAAACACGAACTCATATTTACTTTTTTATCATATTTTCACGGTTTAAATAGGAACCGACGCCATGCGCCAGTTTCGCGACGTCGCAATATGTTTAGTCAATGGTAAAATTATTGAACGCATGTCTCGTTATTATAATATTAAACATTTTTCGACATCAAACTCGATGTAAGACAACTACTGCAAAAACATGGTTAAGATCTTTTATGGGTCTTAGAAAAAACACTCCGAAATAATCAGCAACAATTAGTAAAATATATATTAATAAAAAAGGTGGGGCCCATTCATTTCAAAAGTAATAAATTCAATCTGAACTAATTTTTGAAGTACTGCTATCAAAACTTCTGAACCACCAAGTAGGTAACAAGTGACAGTTACGCGATGATAGGTTAACTAATTTGAAAACACAAATTTACTGTACCTTCTGTATTTTTGATGACTTGTGGCCTAAGGACTAAAACAGATACTTTAACTTCTGTGTCCAAAAACATTTCAGTTGTAAATAACAAATCTCCAAGAAACGATTTCCAGGACTGAACGATACAGAAAGTAGAGTTTGTACCAACCTGACAACGTTAAATAACTGAAAGTTCTCAAGGTGACAGTGACACATCTAGATTTACTAATAAATAAACGCTTTGAAAAAAACGTATCACAAGTTTGTGTTTTGTGTGTTATTAACTACAACATCAAACTATAATTAAAACGTGGACGAAAAATTTTCCTTTATTCAAACATTAAATAAATAATAAACAAGTAAATTACACATTTTTAACAAAACATCAGTTGTAATTTTTTCAAAACTAATTAGAAGAATGAGTAGCCTTCGACATCATACTTTCCACCCTATTCGCAGTTTCTCTTACAACATCAGACAGTTCTGGGAGTTCTGGCAAGTCCAGTGTAATGTGCGCAGAAAGTCTTTTGTACACGGAATTCCCGTCAATTCTTTTTTTCCGAGACTCTTCATATTTCAATTGCTGCTTTAAGAAAATAGCATTTTTTAAATTATCTTGAATATTTTTGAAACTATCTTCTGCTTTACTCATTAACTTGATGGCGCTAAAATTACGTGTTTTATAATACGTATTGCATCGTTTGGTTTTTACCTACCTAACAGCATATTCTATGTCATAACAATGTCCTTGCAATTCTTGGTGAAGATTATTAACATCAACCCTACGATCGACCATGGGGTTTAATGCTTTTCGAACATGTTCTTGTAATCTGTAGAAAGCTAAAGATGGTTCATTAGCTACTATATGCATATTTTCGGAAATACGTTCAGTTGCTGAAATACACAAATTATTTCGGCTTAAACATAGTCACCATTTACCTTTCCGAACTTTATTTTCTAAATCAGAGTCACCGTTAAAAGTCATTTTTATCACGATTACTGTTCCTATTTACATGTTTACATTCATTCGGATGTTGTCTTCCCCCTGGTTTTCCATTTGACAATTTAGCTAAAAGAGAAATCTATCTGAATTCTTCATTATGTCTTCTCGCAGAAGACAACTGCGCAATGCGCATACGCACGGATATCAGTCATCTACCTAATACTATTAAGGGACGTAAGCGGCGAGCAACGTGTAAGTGGCGTATAAAGCTCTATTCACAGTAGGAGCGTCGCGCTCGATCAGCGTCTAGCATTGTTGAGCGTTGCGTTAGCGTCGCGTGAAAGCGTCTACCAAGCGTTATTAGAACAGCAGACATCACTGCACTTATTTTATTAGAATTTATTGCTGGAAACCCCGTACTATTCGTTTAAGAAGTTAAATAAAAAAGCGAAAGATACTTATTTGGTGCTTTCCACGATCTTTATCCGAAGATAAGAAAATACCCAGATAGATCGGCACTTCAACGTATAATCGATCCCGTACATTTATGTTTTTGTAAGAAGCTAACTTTGTATTCTGTAGCGTAGGTCTTGACTGAATTTCTGCTATAAACAGAAGACCATCAATGCAATGGAAACGCTACCGTTTTGCTGCCTGACGCAAGAAGAAATGATCACTGTTGCCATATTTTTTTTAGGTAAGGCACAAATTCCATTGTCAATTATCGCGAAAAATCGCGATGACTAGGAAACTGCACAGGGAAAATGTACGTTTCACAAAAAAAGAAGTTTGATAGGTTTGATTATTGAAAATAAACAATCAACCCCAAGAGCCGGGTTGCCGGGAAGGGATGATCCGCGGACAGTTGGTAGAAGACCGGTGGAAGACCAAGACGAGTTCACCACTTATTACTATTGAACTATTGTACATATGTTAGTTAATATATAGTGTACCGTGATATCTAAAGCGTTACATCATAACACTGGCGACGAGAACGGAGAAGATTTGGAGGAAGCAGGAAGCAGGAAGACGAGGTCGAAAGATAGCGCCGATTGGAAACTTAGAAGAATTCAACCCACGCGCACCAGAAACTTGGGGCAGCTATAAACAACGGTTAGATTTCTTCCTAGTCGCGAACGATATAGACATAGAAGCGAAGAAGAAAGCTGCAAGGACAGACTAGTATGTGGGGTGCGAGATGAAAACCTTCAGATGAGGTTATTAAGTGAACAAGGCTCACATATAAAACAGCATTTGAAGCAGTCAAGGCACTATTAACATGTAAGTCTCTCTTGACACACTATGACTTGCAGAAACAATTACGACTCACATGCGATGCATCATCCTGGGGACCGGGAATGGTGCTGTTCCATATGAACCCAGATGGGTCCGAAAGCCCAGCTGCATATCATTCGAAAATAAATATTTAACAAAACGGAACGCAACTATTCGCAATTAGATAAGGACGGAACGTGGATATTGTCACAGATCACAAGCCATTAATGGGACTCCTGGGGGAAGGCAAACCAGTCCCGAAAATGACGTCGCCAAGACTAGTCAGGTGACCACTCTTCCTGACAAATTATGATTACAGACTAGTGTATAGCCCAGGGAAGTCGATTACACTGCGACGAAATTCCGGGTAGGACGGACAATGACGGTCCGGAACCTCGTCGATAATGTGTGGTGGCGGCGTACTTGGGTGCCAAGATTTGGGTCGACTAGTGTCGCTGATGTAAGAAACACGTTTGGTCGACCTTCACGCCGCCGGGGGTGGCGCCTTCGGTCAGGAGCGGCGGTCGCTCGGACGCCAGCTCCCTCTTCGGGGGATCGAGTGCCGGGGTGCTCTAAACCCGGAGACACGGATATCAGGTAGTGAGCGCCCGCGAAAACACGAGAATAAAAATAAAACGGCAAGGATTTAAACAATAAATAGGGTTTATTCCCTACCATAAGCTACACGGTCTAAAATAATAAATCTTAGGGCTAAACAACTTAAATAATTACAGATCGGTTTTACAAACAAAAGTAAACGAAAAGAATTAAATGTCCGGTACGGTCGTTCCTCCTGGGCGGCGACTTCCTTCAGGACTTGCGGGCGGCAATCTTGAGACCTGGAAATCGCGCGAAGACGGCATGGTGACCCGGGACGGTGATACGGTTTTTCGCTCGGGGGCGGCGATTCGAAAATCGGTACTTAGACGGGCAGACGACCCAAAAAGGCACTTACGGTGGTCGGAGGGTCGAACTGCTCTTTGAAACTTCACACTTTCAGGAAAAAGAAAACCCAGCCACAACACAGGCAACACTTCTTCCGTTTCCAAGACTTCGTTACAACACATGCAGATGCCTTGAGCCGACTTCCATCAAGTGCGGAATTGGAAAACGGAATAAGCTGAGTGATGGGAGATGTGCTGATGGTGGAGAATTTGCCGGAAACTCCATTAAAGACTGAAGTCGTGGCGAGATTAACAGCAGAAAACGAAGTATTGGGGCAGATCATGAACTGGGTACAACAGGGATGGCCAAGATAAGTGAAAGAACCAAGTCTATAAATATACAGCCAGAGACGGGAGTCGTTGTCAATATATAAACATTGTATTTTGCATAATAATCGCATTGTGATTCCAGAAAAAGCTAGGCAACAAGTCTGGAAATCCTGCACACGTCCCACACAGGTATGGTTCAACTCCAGATGAAGGCATTAGTGCGCAGCTTCGTGTGGTGGCCGAAGATGGAACACAGAAATAGAAAACACGGTTCGATCTTGCGAGGTTTGCCAAAAGAATCAAGAGTACACATAGACTTTGCGGGGCCAGTAACCGGGAAATATTACGTCATAATAGTGGACGCATTCTCCAAGTGGCTAGAAGTAGAAGAAGTGCCATTAACCGCAGCGAAACCCGTCACGAAGGTACTTGAAAGACTGTTCGCCACACATGGGATTCCAGAAGTCGTTGTAAGCGACAGCGGAATGGCGTTTACGTCACAGGAATTCGCCGAATTTCTAGAGAGAAACGTCATCAGGCAGGCCCTTACCGTCCCATACCACCCCAGGTCCAGTGGACAAGCAGAAAGAATGGTCCAGGAAACAAAAAACAAGTTGAAGAAGTTGTGTCAGGGAGACACAGATATAAAGATTGCGAGGTTCCATTTACACAACATACCACGCCATCAATGGCAACAGGCGTGATACCAGCTGAACTGATGGTGAACAGAAAAATCCCCACAAATTTAAACATGTGTCACCCCGGAATGACGGCAAAGTGGAAGAATACGCCCATACCACAGCTGAAGTCACCATCAACGAAATTTATAGAAGGAGAGAGTCTGGGCACGTAACTTCGGGAAGGGGCCGAAATGGATCCCTCAGACCGTAAAGAAAGCAAAAAACACCGAAGGCAGAACACACAAGAGGCATATCGACCATTTGAGAAGGAGATATATAGGGGTTCCAGAAGAATCGAGAGATAGGGACACAGTGGAAAGTCCCATCATATGAGAGCCCCCGCAGCAGGTCGAGAGGGAAGAACACGCAGAAGAACCAACTCTGGAGTTCTCAGCAACCAAGCAGACCCAGGAGAGAGGAAGACAACTTCAGGGAGAATCGTGAAACCCCCACTTCGTTTCAGGGCGATCTACAAAAGGGGGAGGGGTGTTGTTTCCTGAGGTGCAGGCGTGCAACCCCAAGTGCCGGGAAGGGATGATCGGCGGACAGTTGGTAGAAGACCGGTGAAAGACCAAGACGAGTTCACCACTTACTATTGTATATATGTTAATATACAGTGTGCTGTGATAAAAAAAACGTTACACCATAACAGTATAGTAGACGCAAACATTTAGGCCGTCACAGCCGGATATCTTAAACCCACTTACTGCAGTAAGTCATGACAACCTACCTGAAAAGACCTTTTGAGGTAAAAGCACAAGGTGGTACTGTCTCGGCGGTCCCTGACACGTAGCATGGTTTGTATTTGCTATGTTTTATGAAGGGTCGGCTGCAAAGTACTTTAAACGTCAAAGCCATAAACACACTAATAAATGTTTGCGTCTAGTGTACTTATACATCTTTAATAAATATAATCCTGACGGGTAATAAATCTGAACTCCATTAATAGTTAGAGCAATGCAGTAAATTATTATCTATTCAATAGAACCCTCATATTTTAAGGCTCCTCTTTACAGTAATTAAAATTAAAACGACATTTCCAATATCATCCTTATGATAGCACTTGAAGACTTGTGCGACATATCTACTCATTCGCAAACCAAAAATCTTCATGGAAATAGTTTTTATATTACTTTCGTTACTTTAATAAAAAATAAAAATGGAGAAACGTTCTTTACTTTTTCGGCCAAAACTATAAAATATTTTGGCTTTTAAAAAGCTGACAGTGAAGATAATATTACTGCCCCCCGGCTATTGAATTTATTTTTTCTTTGTTTCCCTGTGCAAAGGATTGTTTGACTGCTGACGCGACGTGAACGCAACGCGACGCACAACACTCCCACTGTGAACAGAGCTTTACTTTTACGCGTTGTACGCAAATGACAGGTAACCCAAACCGTTAAACGTGGTACGAGGACGTGGCTGTACGTGGATCTGCGTGGCTGACGTTTATTACAGTTGTCTCGTCTCGCGCGTGGTGTGGGTTTAGTTCGGACAGCTGTAACATCAAAATCACATTTCAGTTACATTTCCATTGATTTAAACACATTCTTCAGTGAGTGTAACTAGTTTGTAAACGTGGAACTGTTTTAAAATTCTTCATAGCCAAATTTAACAATGTATAAAATAACTATCGCCGTTTTCACAACCTTCCTTGCGGTTGTTATGTGTAATACAGAAGAAGAAGTAGGTCCGCGACTTCTCGTTTCTAAACAAATCCTCAACAGATATTTAGTGGAAAATAAGGACATCGAAGTGAAATATACCTTGTACAATGTGGGTACCGCTGCAGCTATTGGGGTTCAGCTGACTGATAATGGTTTTCATTCTGAAGCTTTTGAAGTAGCTGGAGGGCACTTATCAGCCAAATTTGATAGAATTTCGCCCCAGACTAATGTTTCTCATGTTGTGATTGTGAGACCAAAGCGTTACGGATACTACAACTTCACTAGTGCCGAAGTGACTTACAAGATTGCTGATTCTTCAGTGGTACTTATTTACTCATTAATTATTATATTTTTATCAATTTCTTAATTTGTAGGTACAGATCTCTCTTAGCAGTGAACCAGGAGAAGGTGGTATTATTGCTTTTCGGGATTATGACAAGAAATTTTCATCACATAGTTGGGACTGGTTGGCGTTTACTCTCATGACTACACCATCGTTAGCTATTCCATTGGCTCTGTGGTATTCCAGCAAGAGCAAGTATGAAAAACTTGTCAAGCCCACAAAAAAGAATCATTAAAATTTAAGTTTTTGTACTCTGATGATCAGAGAAGAATTTGTTTCACAACTTGTTAATTTATAATTGTTGCAATTTTGTAATACATTTTTTTTTGCACATGGTTTTTCATTTTGTATGAGTAAGTTCTGTGTGGAAGAAGTCAGAAACAGGTTATTGGTGTTTGTAGGAGTGTTGTTAGTGAATCGAAAGCTGATAAATATCCAGCTATTAACGCTATTTTTGAAAATAGTCGGCTATTTAACAACAATAATTAGCGAAGTGTACAACAGTTAAAAAACAGACAAAAACAAAGGAAAATAATTAATTGCAAAATTTATTAGTAACAAGAAAACCATTATAACAAGTCCTCAAATTAAACTATACAGAATACAATCGTTATATAATTCCTCTCTGAATTTATGAGTATATAAATATTTTAAAAGGATAAAGTTTTTAGTTGATCGCGACATAAATTGTCAGCAAGAATCTGTCTTAAAGATTCGTTTGAATGACAACTTATATCAGGAATCATAATGATTGAGACTGGGTCAATACAATAAAAAGAAACTATTGAAATACTTATCGTGCATGTACTTAATTACGTTTTTACTATTTATTTTAAATATACAAAATACACACCTTTATATTTGCTTATAAACTAAGCTCACAGCCATACCACAAGCAAAAACTATACTTATGCAATAGAAGAACCCATATCCGACCTTAACTGGACACCTACTTCATTAACATTAGAACCGTAAGATGGAGAAGATATAATAACTTCACTTCCTTGTTCTACATTTTGCGAACTTAAAAGGACAGGGGCAACATACTGTTCGCTGCTTTCTGGAAAATTAGCAATATTCGACTGAGTCGGTTTACACGACGGAAATGGACTCAAGAAACAGAAAAACGCAATAGTAACAAAAAGTCCCATTAAACTAACATAAAACTTAACATTTAAACCTCCTCGGATGAATGAAAATGCGGCCATTATTAACTGTAAGACGAATATAGCAACTCGTACCATTTTAACAGCACTCGCGTGAATTTGTTGGCCTTCTCCGCACATAGTTATAGGTCTATAAACATAATAGATGTTATATTTATCAACGAAATGTTTCAAACAAAGGTAAAGTAAACCGAACGGGGTAATTAAAGGACACGTCAAACTGTAAACGGTGCTTATTGTAAAGATAAGTAGAGTCCACGCATAATGGATGCCGAACGGAAATTCAGACATAATTTCTTTACGAATACTTGTCTTTTCTGCTTCTGACTTAATACGAAGAAATCTAAAGACGTACATTGCAAGTTCTGGAAACCGAAGGAGCTCCAAGGCTGTACCAATTAAAGCTGATGTTATAATATAATTGACAAAAAAAGCACCTTTATCTGCCAGAAATACACATTCCCATCGTACTGTTACATTATGAGATTGCAAAGGCCACTCGAAAAAAGCTTGTGCGCTTGTTAATCCTAATGAGGGAAGAATCAAAACCATGAATAACAGAAAGAAGAAGGCTTTGTGCATAGTCGCATGATTTTGCTTAGATTTGGTCCAGTGTGACATCCATTCGTCTGAGTACGCCACAAGAACAGGCATTAAAGCAGAAAATGATAAAAGCAGAAGAGTTGGAAGAAAATCAGAAAGTACAGGACTAAGTTTACTTACAAAAATGTCTTGGGCTGAAGTTAGATTGTTGAAAACGTTAACCACAATCAAAGGAGTTGTTAAGAAGAAGAGCACTAGAAATAATATCCCATTTATTATTATTGCTTTTGAGTACCAATTTCTGTAAGAAATTTCTAAGTTTTCCCAATTTATGTCAGATGGGGATGGCGCTTTAGTGATCAACCAGTGTCTGACAGAACCAGGTTCAAATGACTTGATCACGTGTTGCGCACTTTCTTCCGAATTTAGCGTCAAAAAAGCAATTCCAAGAGGATTTTCCAAAACCGTCCTTCTCTCTCTAATCACCAATTCATTAAGACGTGTTTCTTCTTCTGTATAATATAAAAGGGCGTTTTTTGCTTTCCATGGACAACATATAATACAACCATAGGGCTGAACTTTAAGGTCTGGTTTATGGTTAAGTATACAGTACATTTTCGCCTCGCGAGATAATTCTCGCTCTCTCTCTAATTTGGTTAATTTTTTTACCCTATATGCAATCTGGATATCTTTAATTTCAATATCAGGGTATTTTAGTGTAAAATAGTTTTTAATATCTTCTGAATTTCTTTGAGAGCGTGAAATATGCGTGATCATTATTGTACGCGACGTCAATGCAGTAACGCTGGGCTTCCGTCCCGAACATCTTCTCATAATTAAGACAGTTAAAGGTACAAAACAGAAACTTGCAATAACATGTACCCACAACCAATTAGAAGTTGGCTCCAAATTACTTACAGTAGTGTGACCAAAAGTCGTTTTGCCTCCTTGTAAAGTACCTTGGAAGTTGATAGGTAAGATAACACAAACTGAAAATATCATTATTGCAGATGACAAAAACAACAGATGCTCTTGAAACGACAAATAATGGGAAGCATCAGGGCCACAGCGTGTGTAAATTCTCTCACGACTTATTTTAAAAATTGAAGGAAACCATAAACAACCAGTATCAGGAATAAGAGAAACGTCTGTACTTGACTCTTCGACAGCAACTGCGTCTTCTGTGTTTTTGTAAAACAACTGGGTCCACTTTTCAGTGTGGACCAAAGCCAATCGACCATAATCCCATGCTCTATTTCGTAAAATGGCGAATAATAGGATAAGTAAAATCCAGGAGACAACATTAAGCAAAATTGTTTCTGGAATTCCTTCATACACGTTACTGATAACTGTTGCATTTGCACGTCTTGTGGTTAGACAAGTGTCGTTATTTAAATTTCCTAAAGGACGCGAGCGATCCCCAAAGTTGTTGAATACCATCTGCGAACATATGAACATTACTAAAGTTGTACTTACAGAAAAAAATTACTTACATTAAATTGCAAGATTCATCACAAATATACAAACTCTGTATTTACAAAAAATCTCAAAGAATGAAATGAAAGCACCGCATTCCAACGTAGTTGTTGATGACGCAATTTCAATTACATTTGACCATAATATGTAGCCAATTATTACACACACTACTGTGCACACCACAGAACTTCAATACTAGTGCTGAGTGGCAACTGTTAACACCAGGCAACACTATAAAATTTAATACATGCTTCCAATGCTTCGCTAATATGGTTCGAAATGTCGGGATCAGCTGTTAACTGTTACTCTCTATCCGTGGTCGGCACCAAAATACTGTAAACTGTAATAAGCTGTATGCCCTGCGATTGACTATAAATCTTTCCTCGAACTAACAATAATAATATTTTACAGTACGTTGGTCGAAGTACAGTCAGGATCAAATATTATGTTTACATGATGGCAAACAGACTCACTGCCATTTTTATTATTGTATTAAGATTCTCTCTACATGACGTTTCGACGTTGTATTTTCTCCATTTTAGTATAGATGGCACAGTAGACAGAGTATTTATAAAGTCACTAGATAGTGATCTAGTGACTTTAAGTATTTATTACCATATGTACAGACTATTATACCAGAGAACATAGAGAAGCGACATAGAGGCTGATTTTGCAAAACCACCCTTATTGACATTGGAGTCCTCAACCAGAGAACATAATTATACTGTGCTATTATTCAGCTAAGCATACCCACCTAGTTTTTTTAATGTGGCAACCCAAACTACCGATTACCAATACTGCCGGTTTTCAATTACAGACGGCCCCTTAAAATATGGAACACCACTCGTGTGTTGGACCATCGATGCGAATTACACTCAAATTTGGTTTAATTTTTTACTTCCGCAACGTAACCGAAGGAAGTATTGTAATCAAGTCCGTCGGCCGACTCTCTAATTTCAGATTTTCTCGACCTTTCGTCACCGAAGTACGAAGAAATAGGTCCCTGTTTCCGTCCGTCTGTCTGTCTGTCTGCCGTCTGTCCGGATTTTTATTAGACAGATAATCTCCGAAACTACTCGACCGATAATTATCAAATTTTATGTTTATTTGTATTACGAATATCATATGTATTTAGATAGTGAAACGCTAACCAAATTTTGGTCCCACCATCAATGTGACAACGTCACTTCAAAATTGTACATAGTAAATGGGTACTAAATTGTATAAAATAACATAGTCCTACACGGGTGGTTTATGAATCCGTGTTGAGTTTTTACCTGAAACGTTGTAAGGATCCAATTCGAATTTTTAAATTTCAAATGAATTCCGCGCGCACAAGAAACGGTTAGTGGTAAGAAGAAGAGGTTGGCAACCAACCACCCCAAAGAAACAGACGTGCGCAAAGCGAGGCTGGTATTGTCTTGAAAAACGGTCACTTCGCTTTGACCGCTTGGAACGAACGGTCGACTTCTTTTCGAGCGCTTCGAGCAACAGGTTGTATTTTTAATTGTGAATTATTCTGTGCCTTTTGCTGTTGTGTTTTGTTTTTCCAGTGTTGATCTGTTCCATTGGAAAATCTAGCAGCCCGTTGAGCCATTGGGTGTTCCTGATTTCTCATCGTTCTTACGACGAGGTTTTTGTGTTCCTGTTGGCGGTAAGCCGTGTCGAAATCTTCGCATCTTTGGAGAGGTATGTTTTGAACACCTGTTTGGCGGCGAGTTTCAAGCCCCGACGATACTTCTGACCTCGTGACACAGCGACGCGTGCGTTTTTTCCACTAATCTCGTTTTTTTTTTACCTTTCATTTAAAATCCATCGCAGTAGGGCTTTACAGGAAGTGATTTTTATTTCGGGCCATGCTTTATTTAGCTATATTTGTGAAATCTGTATTTTGGATGGCGGCAAACGAGTTGTTATTCTCACCGTTCTTTGTTCAGGCAGCGGCCATTTTGAAGCGTCCATTTGTTTCCTTTAATCGAGCACATATTTTAACTGAATCTATTGAACAAAATAACAACATTGTGGGTCTTGGGGGGACGTGCCTTTATTCCTTGGATTTAGCACATCGTTTATACAACGCCACAGGATTCATCGTATTTTTGCATCGCATATTTTCGACGCCTATTATTTGGAATGACGAATTCGTCCAACGCCATTTTGCAACTGCAGATTGTCTGCCATGTTTGTTTATGTGTTTTGTTTGGGGAAATGTATGTGTAATAATGGCCCACAATGCAGCTAAATAATTTCACGTTTGAATTTTAACCAATAACTTGACTGGACACGAATTAATATTAATCACATGTAAATCTGTTAACTTTACAATCTTTCACCTCATGCAATTTGTCTTTGTCTCACAGTTTTAGCTTCAGTAATTTTCTTTGCTGTATAATTTGAAGTGAACGTAAATTTCCATGCTCTACAGTTCTGACCTAACATGATATTTAATTTGTACAAGCTTATTTCACACCAGATTTTGTTTTTTTAAATCTTTGCTAAGTTTTGCTCATGTAAATATTTTGTTGATGAAAGTCTTTGTCCTGCAAATTATCTGATGTCCATATTTAATCTCAAGTAAGAATTATTTGTTGTTGAATTTTCGTAAGAGTGTGTGGCGAATTTAAATGTTGTGTATTGCTCTTTGTTGAAACTTTAACACTTGTTCGGTTGTCATTTAATATTAGAGTCATAGAATTTGAACATTTAAATAGAATTAAAGGTAAATAACACATAACTCGTAGTGTACGTGGGGCGCGCGACTCCTTCTCAAACTGACGGGATTAATCGCGTCACCTGCACAAGTCCGCGGGTGTTGTATAGCTTCAGGGGGCGATCGCGGGTCTTTAACGCTGTCGACTTGGCCCAATAGTCGGGACCCCACTACGGATCTGCGATCGTAACCGCCTCGTTTCGCAGGGCACGTTCGTAATGGAGAGATGCGTGTGAGCAGGCGTTGGTGTAGATAGAATCACCGTCGTGGGGGAGAACAGTGACGATCAGGAGTCCCAACCTCTACTTGCGCTACAACGCCCCCTCTGGGTATTTTGCTGTGCTCATAAATGAAATTGCTATATTTTGTTCTATATTTTGTTCGATCGCCACACTCTCATAATGATTCGGGTTCTGCCATCCAATTTACATATGTGTAAGTCTTGTGTTTGTTCGGTTTTCATATGTGTATGTCTGTCAATTCGCGAGTGTTTTTCTTTCACATATCTTAAGGTGTTTGACATGTAATATGTCGGTGAATAAAACCCCAGGGGGTTTTGGGGAATGAAGACCGATGATGCCTTGGCCCTGCGGACTCGCCAGAAGGGCAAATCGAGCGTCTGTCGTTCTTCGTTTCTTTTTCCTCCTTAGGAAGGCTCCTAATTTTGTCTATCATTTCTTGCGCTCTCGACAGTGTATGCACTTGTATGAAAGAACGTCTTCCCGCCATTTTTCAAAAACAAAAAAAAAAACACAACGTAGGTTCCTATTTGTTAGACGATCACAGCCAAGGCCAAACTTTGAATTTTTAAATTTTTCGCGGGCCCTTCAAACTGTTTCAAGGTCAAAATTTTGAGGCGGGAAGTTTGGGTTATCACAACGTCCAGATTTTTGAAAAAAAAAACATTATACCTATATCAAAATTTTGCAATTTAATTTTGAATAACCGAATGCTTTGAAATCTTGCAGATGTTTTAAAGTTATCATAAGCATGATACATTTTTAAACAAAATATATCTGTTTATTCCCCCAAAAAAATTGATCTTGTCATCTCAAAATTTTGCCGAATAAATCCTATCTAAAATATGCAAAATATGATGAGGATGTACTTGTAATTTATCACTGCATTCATATTTCTTAGAATTGCTTACACAGGTGACTCAAAAAATAAAATTTATTTGATCGATTAAATTAGGAACTGCAAAACCGAATGCTTTGAAATCTTGCAGACGTTTTGAATTTATTGTAAGCATGGTAAGTTTTTTATCAATATATATCTATTTAGTCCCCCCAAAAAATTTACGACGTCAACATAAAGTTCTTTCGAATAAATCCTATCTAAACATCCCGCCTTATATTGACATGTGAGAAAAAATTGAAAGTCCGCAAAAAATTCGAAAATTTGGCCTTGGCTGTGATCGTCTAACAAAATGGTGCCTTACATTGTGTTTTTTTTTTGTGGCGAAATGCGTTCTGCAAGTGGTGCACCCCAAGGTTGGAAAAGTACCGCTAAATAAAACACAAAGTATATGGAGGACACAAAATCATTTATTTCTCCACTCACAAAAAAAAAAAAAAAAAGCTGCGACTAAGTTGTGCCGGGTGAACGTTCTGAATCAATGCAAATATTTGAATATTACAAATTTCATAAAACAAAGCAAAATCTGAATTAAAGTAACTGGATGCAAATACACAAGTTATAACGGACGTGTGGCGGCAAATTTAAAATTATGAAAGTCAACAAGAGAACAAAATTTTTAATGAAAACTATGCAGCGGCAGCCGCACCAGAACGCTATAAGAGTGTGGCGATCGAACCATATCAATTTCATTATAGAGCGCAGCGAAATTACCCACAGGTGGAGCGTTGTAGCACGAGCGGAGTTTGGGGCTCCTGGTTGTGGCTGTTCTCCCACTACTACGGTAATTCTATTCTATCTGCAAGCACATGGCACCCAGCACCCCTCTATCTAAAGAAGAAACGTGCCGCGCTAACAGGCCGTACGGTCGCAAACTCGTGGTTGGAAATCACGGTATAGATAAGAGCATTAAACTACATGTAAATTCGCCATACACTCTCCTGAAATTTTAAACAGCAAGTAATTCTTATCTGAGATTAAGATTTGACATCAAACAATTTATATGATGGAAACTATAGCCCCTAGAAATACATAGTAGCGTCACCGTGGAGCGAACATGGCGGAAACTTAATAAAAACAAAAATTATTAACACCATTTGACAGACCGCAAAATTTAAAATGGTTTTATGTTGGCTTTAAAGTTTGTAGTTTATATACAAAATATGGATTTTAAATTTGAATAAAATATAAAATTTAATCAATAACGTCTTATTTAATAATTATTAGTTATATTAATTGACATTTAAGTGACTTTAAACAAAAAGACCACGCCAAGACCACGTGACAACAACGGTTTACGAGCTGTCAACTCTCTGCTGACACAATTTGGTTCCAAACCAGGGGAATTTTTTGCGTTACCAACTGCATTTGCTCCACTCGTACAACAATGAATGACGCTACTATGTATTTCTAGGGGCTATAATGGAAACATTAATCAACAAAATATTTACATGGTAAAAAAAAAACAGCAAAGAAGGTGTGAAGTAAAACTTGTGCAGACAAAAATATTACGTGAGATTAGGAACTGCAGCGCATGAAAATTTATGTTCAATTTAAATTATACAGCAAAGAAAATTACTGAGGCTAAAATTGCGAGATAGAAAAAAATTGCAAAGCTAACAAAATTACTTTGTTAATATTTAATATTTGATGTTCATTCGAGTTATTGGTTAATTTTCAAAAGTGACGTTATTCAACTGGATTGTGGGCCATTGTTATACATTACCCCAAACAAACACATAAAGAACATGCAGGCAATCTGGAGGTTCAAAATGTCGTCGAACGAGTGCGTCTTTCAAAGAATGCGTCAAAAATATGTCTCCCAGAAATACGATCAATCCTGTGGCGCTGTGCAAACAATGGTCTAAATCAAAGGAATAAAATGCAGGCCTACCATCACCCATGAAAATACTCTTTCAACATGGCCGCTGCCGGAACAAAAAATTTATATGATGTTAAATTATGCCACACTTTATCAACGATTCAAACAAAGAATTTACATTATGTTAAATTATGCCATTATCCAAGTGATTGGTTACTTAAAACAATTAGCTTTGAGAGTTTATATTGTGAACTGTCCTCAGCTTATCCCGAACAAAACACATGATAAATAAACACAAAATGCATCGAACTTTGCGAGAAATGCTTCTCGGTGGTGTAATTTTCCACGTTGCGAGAAAATATGTCTCGGTGATGTGATGATGATAACGATGATAACTGCCTAAGGGGAACGATATTATGAATTCTACCGCACTTTCCACGGTCCTTTTTTCCAGAGTGGAACAACGTTAGGTTAATTTTATTGCCGTAAATGAACTATTAGCAATCTTGTGTGAGGAATTAAGAAGTGTTATATGTAATGTAACACTTATGTATAAGTATCCAGAAACTTATTTATAATTTGATAAACAAAGGATGAGTCCTGACTCAGTAAATTTCATGAAATTCCCTAACAAGTGCTTTAAAATCCAAACTGTTAAATTGGGTTAGAACCAGTTAACGAATAAAATCCTGACATGAACTGTCAATTTACACCACGTGTTAGCATCGGGCGAAAATTCGCATATTTCCGCTTGGAAAAACCTCAAGAATTAGCTACTCGTGTTGGGGAAAATGGTAAATGGGTTTTAAATTGTATGAAATAACATAATCCTACACATGTAGTTTATGACTCCGTGTTGAATTTTTACCTGAAATGTCCAGAAAAAAATTAAAATTATAAAATCTTTTGCAATTTAATTTTGAATCGGCAAAACATAGTGCTTTGAAATCTTGCAGATGTTTTAAAGTAATGATAAGCATGCTAAATTTTTAATCAAAATATATTTGCTTACCCCCTCCAAAAAATTATTATTTCTAGGAGCTACAAAAACAATGAGCACTGTATTCCCTCTATACATATAAAACCTCTTTAGATGAGACAGACGTATGACAGAATGAGAGAATATGCACTGTAATCATATTCTACAACACAGACTACCCCCTCCAGACTGCCAAGTCCCGTGTAAAAATTTAAACTAGTAGAAGGTAACAAATATAGAGGGCCAGACGAAAGATAGTAGGGGAAACTGTGGGAAATTTGAAATTTTGTTGAGTAGGCGCCTTTGGCGGGAGATTCAAAGTCATTCTCAAAATATTGTAAAAACATATTTTGTATATCATAACTTCGTAATTAAATTATTTTACTAACGTATAATGCAATATTATTATACGTTAATAAAATAATTTAATTAAGAAGTTATGATGATACAAAATATGTTTTTACTACTTAAAAAAAAGTAATAAAAACACACGTACTTTTTGTCATTAGTAAATTTAATAGCAGACATATAATGGTATCTAACAGCAGTGGTATTGTTGATATAATTATTATACAATAGCTTAACAATATGATTAAAATGAGATGACATACCAATTATTATAAATAAGGAATCTTCTAATTCTCTTGCTTTATATTAAATAAAAATTATTGAAACTGCGAGGATATCACAATAATTTTTATTTAATAATAAAACAGAAACTAGAAATCAAAATCTTTATTTAAGTATGGATCTCAATTTCTTTTCGCGTGGAGTACACCTTTTCCACGAGAAATTGAGATCACATTTCTTAAACAAAGATCTACTAATCGATGGTGCTTTGGACTCGTTAGTAGACAAAATCGTCGCATTTTGACGAAAATTAATAGAAGAACAAGAAGAAGTAGGCGTTTCATGCAAAGAAGTGAGCATAGAAGTATCATACATCAGAGAAGCACTTCCTTTTGATGTCGATGGAACAGGATGAGTGGAGGGAACTTTAATTGGTGTTGAAAAATGTATGTCTTCATCTGTAACCTGAAACAAAGATCAATTAATCATTATTGCATACAAAGACATTATAAGTTTGTACCATTAACGGTTCGACCGGAAGAACTGGGGGTGTCACAGTTGGTGGCTGCAGCACATTCTCTTCAATGATCTAAAAAACATGAATATTTAATACAAAAAACAAAACGAAGCAAATTTCACACAATAGTTATTTTCTTTTCTTTAATAATTAGTACCTCAGTCTCGGAAGTTTGGATGTATTGCGAAGGTACTGCATTTCGATTTAAAGTTGCTGACCAATTGTTAGCGTAAAAATTTGCGGAAAAGTATTCACTGCAAATTCTCCAGTGTGCTTTCACTTTTTTTCTATATTCTCGATTTTTAGTGCTTCTCCCCATTCACGTAATCTAAAAATTAAAATGATTTTGCTTTAAATTTTTCTTTTTTTTTTTTCTTACTTATAATTTTTAAATTAAATATACTTCAATGTTTGTAAACTCACCTAGCAAGCGATCGAGGAAAACAATGCAGTGCCTTCGCATTTTCTGTGTTGTTGCCACAAATAATACAATATCTGCAACAATAATACATTATTTGTTTTATTTAAATTTGCAATAAAAAGCTAAAATTTTTTACCTTCTCGTCATGGCGTTCCTTCAAATAATTTTCGGTAGGTATTTACTTCTTGTTGGTGTTCGACACGTATTCGCACTCACACACTTAAATTTTTCAAATTCAAAATCGCGCAAATTTATTACCGTTATTGCTCATGTGCCGCAGCGCGTCACACCTGTGCGTGCGTCACACATACGTCAGAACACCGTTAGAAGTAGGGGTATCTGTAATGGCGGATGGCGTCCGGCAGTTGTTTTCTTTCAATTTTCAAATGTGTTACAAGTTGACAGAAATTTTGCGACTGCAGAGCCATCTGCCTTGAGATTTAGTTGTAGCATAAGGATAGGTTTATGTACGCCCAATATGATAACACGAGAGAGATATAGAAACGAAGACAGACTTATGGGTCTATAAGTGTATTGAAGTGGTATAGATAAACCGGCTCAAATTTTCCCACTCAACTTGGCAGGCCCTACACAATTATGTAATATCTTTGGTTATCGCTTATCGCATTGGTTATGGTTTTGAGGTTATGACTTATGCTTATGAGTAGTTATGACATTCTATCATCAGTATTCATGAGTGTAGAGCACGGTGGTATAAGTAAGGTGTTTCAACTCCATTCATAAATTTTCATAAAACGGGCGCTTAAGGGTGCCGTCTGGAGGCAAAATATCTGCCTGGTCAAAGTGAGAATAAAACGACCCGGGAGATGCTGCCTCCTGTTAGTGAATTGCTAAAATGTGAATAAATGCAGCACCGATCCGTAGAATTCTACATTTTACTGTACGGAAATAAGTTTTAGTACACAAGCCGCAGTGCCTGTCTAGCCATAATAGTTGCAAACAAAACCCGGGTACCTGAATTTACCCTTGACCGTTCAAAACCGGAAAGATGTAAAACTCACTGATTCATTTTCCTATTTTGGCTACAGTTAATTCTTTCCAGTTATTTATTTTGTTTCCGTACTTAAATTGTTTTCGGTAAATATATTAAATATATGTAAATATTAAAGTACCTCCTACTGTCGGGGAATCATCTGTAGATATGTGATTTATTCCTATCAAGGATGTGTCGTTTGTCTGAATTACAGGAACATCATGTAAAGCAAAAATTGGTCGCGCCAAGGTACTATTTACGAACGGGAGGGATTTTCCACATTTGTAGGCTAAACTTGAAATAAGAGAATTAACAATATTTCCGGTATAAGTAAATATTTTTATTATTTTCCTACTATCTGCACTGTCGGACATGCCCATTCATTACAAATAGAATATTTTTGGCGGAAAATGTTTCTTAAACTTAATAATGTATAAGAGTTTGGTTTTGTTATTTACTTTATCGTTTGCAACAAAACAATAGTAATAAAAATAAAAATATATTTACCAAGTAAATAACAATAAATTGTTAAAATTATTAGCCGCAATCGTTTGAAAATGAATAATAACGTGTCCTTGAAGCTATTAGCCACATAACAAAATTTTTTACTTTCTTCAACGCAAATCATTAGTACGTTGTATGCAAGTAATTCTAAGCATTCAACGGTGGTTTTTTATGTAAGTACTAAAATATTCATGTTAATTATTTTGGCGGCTAACTGCATGGCAGAAGGCAGTTTATTTAAAAATTTGACTTTGCTTAAACTGTTTGTTAGTATATCGTTTTGTAAGGATTTAAATAATTAATTTTAAATTTTTAATAGAAGCAGCTGCTATTTTTTATGCATATTAACTTTGACTTGCACTTTTAATTTTACGTATATCATATGCTTGCGCATCGTAAACCTCATTTTTTTGTATAAGGTGTAAATATTTTTTGTTCACTACATATTTGTCATACTGTTTCGGAAAGATTTAATTTTAAATTTTAGGCTTGAACAACAGCTCGAACGTAATTTTAAATTCGGAAAAAAATTGCTACTCAAATGGAGTCGAAAGCGTGTACAAGGGATAATTTCAGTCCGCAATACCAGTCCCACTTCCGGTGACAAACAAAAGTTGTTAAATTTATTGTAGGTGGTTGTTTACATCTGGCTGGTAGAAATGGTAGAGTCCTATGAATGTAATTGTTTGAAATGCACGTAAAGTACCTTTTTTCGGCAAAACTCAGTTTTGGAACAGTTGCCAATGTTACTACCACTTTGTCAGTGTCTGCCTAAAACATAGTTTCGGTCGTCCACTTACAAATTATTTGCACTATATTTTTGTTGTTACACCTTATTTTATAATAATGGCTCGTGACAAATTTTATCTACGCAAAAAAAAAAACAAAACGTGCAATTAGCACAAAAAATTGTACAAACAGTAAAAAAACACATAAGTTTATTGAATTGAAATAAAAACATCCAACTTAAACGAAATCATCAATACTTTTATCAAGTATGTTATAAGCTGTGAAACATTAATCCTTTTCCCGTCATAATTCAAACTACAACATTTTTAGATTCAAGGTCAACTGGAAATTTGTGAAAAGGAGATTTGCTACTTTGTGGTTTATAGTGGAGATAAGAATGACCTCCATATAGAAACAATATTTAGAGATCGAAAAATATGGACAGAAATTATGTTTCCAAAATTAGAAAAATTCTATCGCTGCTGTTTGGCTCCTGAAATAATACTGAACAGGAGGTCAAAAAATTTGAAATGTTTAAATTTTGTTGGTTGTCTGTATGCCCCATTTTTTAAGGGATTAGTAATATATAATTAAAATAAGCAGCATTTACAAATATTAATATTGCATGGGTTCGGTTTAACAAGTGTGTGCTGTGAAATTATACTGAGTATTACAGTCTGGATAGAAAGTCGCTAACCCGATTTGTTCTGTTACTGTCCTACAGAAGATAATATGCTTTTCTACCTGCCATCAACTCATCTCTCTTTAATCATACCTATATCGGCGTAGGTTGATTATGATTACAAAACTTTGACATCGTTTTACTTCTTTCATCTTCAGCAACAACTCAATGACGTTTCAGAGTATATATAATAAAACACGTTTCAATTTTATTTTTCATAAAGGATAAAAAATAATTAATATAAAACAGATTTATATGTGCCTCAGCTGCGGAGGATTGTAAATACCTTTTGATCTCTTAAATAAAACATACTTTACTATAACTAACTTTTAACGTATCCATCTTTTTTACTCTTTTAGTAAAAAAGATGGATACGTTATTTTGTCACTTCTAAAAACCGAAATGGTATTGTAAAATCGGAAATGCGATATCAAAATTTTATTCCGATAAATCGCTGAGTAAAAACAGCTCCCCCTGGTGGACAAGGTCCACATTAAATTAAGTCTGCAACCAAACCAGAATCTAAGTAAACCTGTATTCTGCTACGGCATCATAGCTCGTTTAATGGCGATTTCTCGTTTCAACAGATTCTGTCTTTTCGAGAGTTATTTACCTCAGTCGTGAATTTTTTAGGATTATAAATGGTATCAAAAGAGAGCTGACACTTTTCCCCAGGGGACCTCCTATCTCAGAATGCAAATCACTTCAGCACTTCTTCAAAAAATGCATCAATGTACCGGTTAAATCTGGTGTAAAAATTGGCCAACTTTATAATTTTTTTTTGTAAAAACTGCGGACTAGATATGAATATAAATATGGAGGTCCCCTGGACTCAAGTTTCTTAATTCGAAATATAATTTTTTTAAAGCGATATATCCCGTATTTTCAAAATGCAACTCCGGAAACCACGACGATGTTTTCAATGTATTTAGTATAGGGCAAAACCGATCCAGACGCGAGCCTTAAAAACTGGTATCGTAGTAGAGCAGCTTTCAACACGAAAGGGTACAGGTGGTGGGAGTGCGCAGAACATTGTTTTGGTTTGGCTTTACAAATATCGTGCAAGCAGTGGCAGCGGCGATGAATATTTCGATTTTGAAATATTAAAATATTATTGCGGTTAATAAAAATATCACTTTTCTATTTTATTAGCGTTGACATTATAGAAAAAGAATTTAAACTATTATTAGTGCTGTATTTGATGTATGAGTTGAATAAAAAAGTAAGTAAAAGAAGTAAAAAGGTAATTTTTAGTGAGCAATAATAACTGTTAAATTACGGTGCAGTCGAAGCTCTAGTTATAAACGACAATTAGGCTAGAATATGAACTGTGATTATTACTTCGATGTTAAAGACAGAACGTTAATCCTTATTATAATCCAACTTTACGGTATCGATAAATTGTGCCAGAAAATTAAAAACCATATAATTATAGTCATAGGTTGCTTATTCTCAGAGTTTTAACCCCGCTTTTATCTAAAGATTTAACTGTTGATTTAAGACTAGTCGGCTATAAAATAGTATATGATACTGGTTTATAATGAGGGGTTCGTGAAATTTTTTACTCATGCTACAATCCCTCACATTATAAACTCGTTTAATAATTAAAAATACCAAATTTTGTGTGATAGATTATCATAATTTATTCGTTACGGAAGTCTATTTTTTTAACAAACAAATTAATTTATTTTTATTAAATGGTTGTCTGTATTCTTTTGTAGAAATTGCTCTTTTTTAATTGTTTTTGAAAGAAGTACAACTCAGCCGAGCCTCCCTTCTCAATGCATCGATGTTACGCCACTGATGGCCCGGCTACAAGTCGCGCAACTTAAGCCCCGCCCCTGTACCATTTAGTGGTGAAATTACTTCTAGGTTGTGGGAGCTAGAGACCCTAAATATCTTATTTAGGGTCTCTAGTGGGAGCTTAAGATGACCGCCACCATGTGGCAGTTAATTGTGCTATTTGCACTAGTGTTGGGCATAATCGACATATTTCACTAATCGAATGAATCGAAATAATCGTTTAAAATAATCGAATAATCACTCGAAAATTCGATCAATGTCCAGTGCGCATGCGTGGCTTGACGAAATCTGAATCGAACATTCAATTACGATTTATTTATTGATTGAAAATAGTTTCACTGTCAGTGGTCCGTATTATTTTCTCTCAATTAATATTTAGAGACGTTCGTTATTTTTTTTTCTCTGATATATGCTTTTATCGTATTCTTTTCTCACTCACTGTAATCAAAATTTTAGAAACCGATTGGCTTAACAAAAGGGAAATCATACGGCCCAATATGTTTGTAAATTATTATATTTACTATTATGTAGTTAGTTATATTCAGTCACACTTGTAACACACTACCACCATCCTAACAAATGAAATTTACTAATGATTTCGATTATTTTCTACGGTTAGTTGCCTGAATCCGAATGAATTATTTCGAAATCTCGAATCGTAATCGGTTCGTGTACTCGTGCGCAATCGAAACGAAAAACGAAACGAATAAACGAATGATTTCTAAACGATAATCGAATGATCGATTATTCGGGTATAATCGAGATATCTCGATTATATCATTCGTAATCGCCCAACACTAATTTGCACTATCGACTGATGTTTGACATGACATTTGACGTATATTTCCCCTCATCTTTCAAAAAGACGTCACAAAACCGAACCTATAAAGCTGACATTTTCGACAACTTGCACCCAAGGACATTTTTACGCAAATTTCATTCATTATTGCACGACCTTTGTGAACAGTTTCATCATAGTGTCCAGTAGACGGCGCTAGGAACTTTAAGCTCCCGTGGCCTCCTGGGATCTCTTCTAAAAAAGACCATTTTAAATGGGAGTTCGCAGACCTGTTATATCTATAAGCGAATTTTCGCGACTAACTAAGTAAGTTACGGTATCTTATTACGTGTAACATTAACATTTTCGCTTTGGAAAGGTATCAGAGGAGAAGGTGTTGTGACGTCATATCGACCTTACCATGAACATACTGGCACTAACGGCCTAACGTTGCATGTATCTCGCGGTAACCAAATGTAGATCTGTCAAATGGGTCTAATGTGTTTCAAGTTTTGTTAGGTTATTTTCTTTGCCGCCTAATAAATTAATTTGCGTTCTGAGACTGATTGAGTGTTGATGGTGCAATTTTATATTAATTTGTGAAAAAAAATGTGTTCGTCAACAGAAGGTCAACTTATTAAAACAAGTTTTAACACTAATTAATGTCACAAGTTGATGAAAATTAAAACAGAAACGATTTTAAAGACAATGTTATTTCCTTCGTTAGAATTTATGTTTTGTTGTTTTTAATACATATTGTATCTATCTTTTCTTATTTTCTATAATATATATTATACATTGTTTAATAATTCTCTAGCTATTTGGTTCCTTTTGAGTTGTGCTCTTCGAGTTTCTTCATCATTGTCTTCTGCAATGAACTCTTGTACGTTAACATCTTCATAGAGCTCATCTTCCCACTGATCTTTATTCATGTAGCAAAAATTATGTAAAACGCATGCAGCAGTGGTTATTTCAATAGCTTTGCTAATGGAGTAGGTGTTAATGAATATTACTCTCCTAAATCGACCTTTAATGCGGGCAAAAATATGTTCGACCACAACACGATCAGCACTCAAATGATAGTTGTGCTGTCTTTCAATTCTATTTAAAGCTGGTCTACGCTTATAGGGTGTCATCATCCACATTTTTAATGGAAATGCACTATCTCCTAATATATGACATTCTTCATTAGGAAAATAGAACTGCGAACCATGTGTTGCAATGTTTTGGACAAATGTTGAGTTCGAAAAGACCTATAAGTTACACTTGAGGTTCAACTTCCATAATTTCAAAAATATAAATTACTCTGGAATCATGTGCCGATCCTGGGAATCCAATAAAAACGTAAGTCAAAATTTTTTCAGCAGTAGATATCACCATGGCATTAATAGAATGTCTAAGATATCTATTAACATAACTGTCATGTTGAGTATGTGGCACGACTTTTATATCTATCTGGCTACCATCAATAGCACCCAAAACATCTAAAGAAAAACATGAACATGAATCATTTTGAAATATCAAACAATTTAAAAATTTACTTGGATAATGAGTAAAACCGTTTATTACATGTTCTACCTCTTCATCAGTTCGAGGCCAAAATATGTATTTCTTCTTTATTTTTAACATAATATAAAGCAAAGCATTCACTATATTCATTGCAGTTGATGGAACAATTCCAAATCTTTGCCCAATTGACAATAAACTTTCTTGGGTTGCCATATGTGTTAAAAACGTAAGCAAAGCCTTCTCAGGTGGTATTGGTAAATTACCCCCGTGATATTTTTTCCTCATTAACTTATGGTTGTCATTTTCCAGAACAACATTTAATAAGTTTAAAAACGTTGACTTTTGTATTCGAAAAAAACGAAAAAACATGATGTCATGGTAATTTCTTAACCAATCTTCTTCAATCGGCCCTTTGTAATAGGTTTCACGTAATTTTATATACAAATTTGTGGCATTTGTTTTATTGAGAATCCAGTTACACAACAGAAGTTCATCAGCATCAAAAAAGTACTGTTCACATAAATTAATTACGCTGAGTGGCTCCATTTTCCACCAAAACTTTAATGCTGCACAGTTTTTGCAAATTGCAAGGTTATATTTTCTTACGTTCTTGTCACACTTCTTGACAGTCAATCATATTACATTATTTTCGTGATAATCGTCGCAGTATGTTGATTACGTCATTGTCATTAGGTGGGGATGTTACCAGTATCATACTTTTCAGTTACAGAAAGTTAGTCGCGAAAATTCGCTTTATATGGCCGTGGTGTAGAGTGTAGTTTTCTGTGGGTTTTATTGGATTGTACACCTCGTGGTGTGAGTGTACCAGTCGTTACATGGTGGCGTCAGCAGCGTCTATGTCACGGTGGTATAAGTAAGGTGTTTCAACTCCATTCATAAATTTTCATAAAACGGGCGCTTAAAAACTGGTATCGTAGTAGGTTGTGGGAGCTTAAGATGACCGCCACCATGTGGTAGTTACTTGTACTATTTGCGCTATCGACTGACGTTTGACATGACATTTGACGTATATTTCCCCTCATCTTTCAAAAAGATGTCACAAAACCTAACCTATAAAGCTGACATTTATGACAACTTGCATTCAAGGACATTTTTACGCAAATTTCATTCATTATTGTGGACAGTTTCATCATAGTATCCAGTAGACGGCGCTAGGAACTTTAAGCTCCCGTGGCCTTCTGGGATCTCTTCGAAAAAAGACCATTTTAAACTCGGAGTTCGCAGACCTGTTATATACGGCCGTGGTCTATGTTGTCCGTGTAATTAGACTGTCATTAAACGTCAATAGAATATATAACAAAATTGTGCCCAAAACTGATATTTCATAATCATTTCGACATCAAATGTTGACATTTGTGACTGCTGAACAGAGTTAATATACATAAAATATAACAAAACAGTAACTATATTTTGAGGTTATGTTTTAATTGTTATAAAGAAAATGAGTGTTAATTCTCTACCTCCACCTTCAACGCAGCGTGATTGTATCTCGGCGGCTACTAAACGATACAAGTATTTAAGAAGAATGTTAAAGTTCGACCAAATGGACTTCGAATTCGCATTTTGGCAAATGTTGTATTTGTTTATCGCACCTCAAAAAATTTACAAAAATTGCCGTTATAGAAAACGTAAGTTGGATTGTTAACGTAAACTGAAAATAATGGAGAACTTGCAGAAACGAAATCGCAGTTTGCGAGAGATGATCCAGCATTTCTTGTTTTGTTTGCAGCGTGGCTGTGCAGTAAGTGTTGCCCCAGTTTGTCTATTGCAACGATAATTTTCGATTTTAGTTACATCAGTTGGTTTTGCTATTGTATTAAAACTTAGATTTTGGCAATTTATTAATTTTCTTTTGTACGTAATTTTTGTTGATTGTATTGGCGTTGGAGTGATAACTGCTACATTGTTTTGGTAAATTATAATTCGAGTAACCACAGATGATTTTAGTTGGTATTTTTAGGTATGTGCTGAACAAATACTTTAGACCAAGTACTGAAGTACAAGATGTAGAATGGGGCTATTCTTTTGATGTTCATCTGAATGCCTTCTTCCCACCATTAATTTTGCTACATTTTTTCCAGCTATTCTTTTACAATGGTAAGTTTCCCTAATTGTTTACCATATAAATAAACGTGTACCTTGCAGGTCTGATAAGTCATGAATGGTTTATATCGAGATTGCTAGGAAATACCTTCTGGCTGGTGGCAGTGTTGTATTACATGTTTATAACATTTTTAGGTTATAGTTCATTGCAAATACTGAACCGAACTAATTTAATCCTCACACCAGTACCCATAGTTGTAGTTTTTTATATAATTAGTTTAGTTACTGGACTAAATATAACACATGCTTTAATGAATTTTTATAAACATAGAGTTGTTTAATATATATTTGAATCATAGTTTGTATCTAGTCTCTTAAAGTGAAATATTTATTCGTTTGTTAGTTTTTATACATATTGCTGTAATATAAAGTTTGTGGACGATTTTCATTTTTTGCGTAATGGATGACCTTCAATGGATATTAGATTGTTGTTACAAGAGTATGAAATTCGACATCGTTCAGCAATTGCATCCCCACTTAAGCGAGATTGTGATGTTTTAAATTTAATTTGTGGCAGGTTGTTTCTATGAATACTTCTTTTCTCAAGAGTGTCATTCATGGTTTGTACATTACATGTAGAGTCCGACTTTGAGCTCACTGTATCATAATTAATTTTAAAACCTTTGACATAATAACTGGTATCAGTATTTGCCTTTGGTTTACGAGAACATAACCTAAAAAATAACATTATTATTATTTTTTTCCAATAACGTGAAAACTAACTTATTCATTTTCTGCAAACCGTCATAAATTGTCAAACGGAATGAAGCCAAAAAAGGCACGATAGAGTGGACAAACGGTATGTGGTAGAAACACTAATAAATGTTTAATATTCCTGGTTCACGGAATACAAGGATTAAAAACCATAGATGACCAAAACACAGGACTTAAGCAACCAAAGCAACAGTGCAACAGTGATGAAAGGAAGGGGGAGAAAGGTCGGACCATGATACAAAGACTTTAGGTATGCTACTCCGGTGGACGAGTTTGTGCATTTTCTGAGCACAACCAACTGACGTCACAAGACCTTGATGCAGCAGCTGTCAGTGATGTGTTGATGATGTCAAAAGTCAAAACATTAACCTGTTTGCAGATTTGCAGATACGTTTTGTTATTTTCCACAGATTTTCTTGATTTTTCTTTTATTTTGCCGTTTTAAGTTAGCATAAAATGATCTTTTATTTAATTCGCGAATTCGAATAAACGTTCTTGTGCGAACTAAACAATGGTAAACTTCGTCTGCTAACATATTTTCTGGTAAGTGACGCTTTAACTGTTGTACTAGATATTTAATTATATATGGTTGCTTGTTGATTTGAGTTCCATGGAAGGTCAAGAATAGTGTTTCCAATAATTCCGCCGCATGCAGAAGGTCACTGGAGGGCTGCAGTAAATTTCCCCTGGAGAGAAATTGAATCCAATCTGCTTCAAAAGAGTGTGGTACATTTTCTGCTGGTGTTCCAAGGTGGGGATATTTGTGACGAAAACGATGGGCAACATACCCCGCCACATATCGAAGTCCTTCTGTTGAAATTTTATTGTCTTCTACATCAACTTCGACTTCGACTTCAGAAAAATGATGAGTATTAGTATCAACAAACTGCAATTTGACCAAGTGGCTATCTTCATTGCTTGGAAGAACACATTTGGTGTCGATTATTGATGAGAAAAGAGATTCCGTTAGACAAATTTCTTTCTCTTCCAAGGGAGTAAGCAATGATTCATCATCATCTTTCTCACAGTTCTTATTTATGGATATGGCAGCTGAGGAGTGTCTACCCAGTATGTACCACCTCAACCGATATTTAAAATCAATGGGGTTGGGATGATCATTACTGCCTCCCATTCCCCGAATCAATGAAAAAAAATTTTCGAGTACATCTTGATTTAAACGTCGGGTTAAAATGTAACTGATATTGTAGAATTTACTCATATACTCAAACAACGCTTGTAATGATTTGTTACTGATGATGACACCTTTTTGAAATGGTAATAATGTTGACTTTCCGATGGCTCGAACATTTTTCATTGTCTCTGTCATCATATTTATTACTAAATTTTGCTTGTCAAGTTCAATGCCATAAGCACTTACTCCTGATGGTGAAAATTTTAGGTAGGTGTTGAAAATGTCGAACCAGTCATTGACAAGTTGAATAAATTTCGATGTTTCTGAGTAGTTCCCATCAATTATTTTGTTATCGCCACACCACTGTATGGCTTTTGCAACGGTATTTGAAAAGAGTTGTGCAGCAGGTTTGACCTTCTGCCTCTGACTGCCTTTAACATCAAGGTGATACTGAGTAATTTTATGTGCAATTTTTAAATCAGATGATTGTGACGTTTTCAATAATGATTCAACATATGTTTTAGTGATGATTTCTCCATTAATTTCAAAACCTTGGTCAAGAAAATGATTTCGCAATAATTTTAGCAGATGTGGAATGTCAGCGAAAACAAAAATTAACTTTTCTGAATCAGATGGATGTGGAAACCAAACACTGTCTATATTTATTTGGAGCTGTTTCCACAGTGCCATATTTCCTGACCCCATATCACTAACAATTGCTACGACGGTATATTGGCATTCATAAAGTTGACTGACAATGTTCAATAATATTTCTTTTTTTATAGGTGTGTCAAAGTTATAATAAATTGGCTGCTTCCATGGCGAAAACAATCCACGACACATAATCACTTGTGCGGCTCTGTGAGGACCCAACGCTTGCTCAAGAGTTTTATCAAGGCAGATCTGATCCCTGATGTACATTTCATCAAATGATAGTATCGTGATGCGTTCAAGCTCTGACAGTGAGCGAGCCTTGTCGTTCATTAAAATCAAAACATCGTTTAAAACCCCTGGGTTTATGGTAAACGAGCAGGCCCATTTGCGTAATGTACTCAGTGCAGGAAGTGGATATTTACATTGTTGTCTCAAATATCTGTACGCTTTGGGGCTAATACTGCGAAGTGAAATTGCAGCCGAAATATCTTCAGTTGTCCACCTCACTCGTTTTTGGCTAATTAAAGCTTTTATTTGAGACTTTGTAAAAATGTTTGACAAAGCCTGTACTACTTTTGTATCAGATGATGTTTTTTCTAATTGTTCATTTAGTTCCATATTTTTCATTTCTGTCAGTTGAGTCTTTGTAAGCAAATCATTATATTTTTGTTCCAATTGCTCATACTTTGCTTGCCAGTCAAACGTTGCTACTTCTTGCAAGGGCTTAACATCATCGCCAAATAAATTCCTTCCACACCGTTTTGGTGATATAATGTGAGAACTCATTGTCTGAATTTTATAGTTTGTTGGCGATGCTGTTTCAACTATGTGTTGTATCTGCGTGCAGCCTTTCGGGCTTGGCGACAACTTACTTTTGTTAAATCCATTTTTTGTCGGGATGGCATTAGGCATTAACCTTCGCCTGCATTTAGGGCTGTACTCCAAAAGCCTGTGTTGTAGAGACTTATAAAAGCACTGAGCAGCAAAATGCAACGAACACATACGAGCTGAAAGGTAAAATATATTATGTTGTAACTGTTTTTTGTTGGTATAGGTTTTGTTTTAATAAATTATAATACATGAACATTTGTCTCACCATTTTTAATATTAATGACATCACTTCTGTTGCAAAATTTTACCCATTCTTCACAAATGGATTTTTCTTTCGGAAACCTAAAGAAGTGAATGTTTTTATTGTCTTTACACTTTATATATGAACTTGAACATTCAAGCACTGCACATTTCGCCATTTTCGGTACAAACTCAAAGTTTGAAATTCAAAGCACTGCAAAATACACCTGTTTTTACAAACACGATTTGCCGCCAAAAGAACGAACAGAGCTTCTATGGTTATAATAATATTAATACTAACCTGTCGGTGTAGAACAATGCTTATAACGCTCTTTTTAATGAAAAGTGTTGTAAATAAATGTAGTGAAACTTACACATTAGGCTAAATAAAATTCTACACATTCAAAAATATGATGTATTCCAATAAAAACAAAACTTTAAACAACATATTATGTATTTAATACTTTTTTAAGGATAACACGTTTATCGTACACTTAAAGTTCTTAATTTACACCTAATAATTACATACTTTGCTCGTCGACCTTTGCGTTCGCTGAAGTTTAAATTTAGCGGTCATATGTAACCGGGTGACGTCACGCAGATGTGCGCAATAGCATACCTTGTTTTCTTGTATCATGGGTCGGACCATGTCGGACGATTTCAGATATGTATTTAGATGACGCCACGGTAGGGAATTAGGGATCGTTACGTTTGGTGTTCGTTGGGTAAAAACATCTACAATTTAACCGTGCTTGTTTATCGCATCACGATCGGGGAATAATACCGGAATTGCGATTTTGTAAGGAAAAGTAGTGTGAAAATCTACTTGCCACTAGAGTATGAAAAAATAAGTCTCCCTTTTCGGTCACTCTGTTAATCGTCGAGCCGACTTGATTAGACAGATAAGCCTCTGAAACTACTGAACCGATCTTTCTAAAAATTTTATATGCATTTTAGGAATATCGTGTAGATAAAAACGTTCATCAAAATTTGTCTGCTCATCCCCACCAGTAATTTGATTACGTCATCTCAAAATTTTGCATAGTAGTACTTAATTGTTACGTAAATTTTATAAAACAAGTGGTCATTCTTAAAAACCCCCGACACAAAAAAAATAATGCTTAAGAAGTCTGAATTTGACGACATTCCCCCACCTTCGCGCTAACCGAGCTGATTTCTCTACTAACTATGTTATGGGGTTATGACTTATGACCTGATGATCCTGAAATGACTGAAGTGATTATCATTAAATATAGCTAAGAACCATCCAGAATAATTCAACTTTCAAATAAAAAAAAAACGCATTGACATCGGTTCATCCCTTTGGAAGCTACGGTATCACTGACAAAGGCTTTATACTTAAAAATGACTAATGTGATTATCATCAAACATAGCTATCCCGATGAAACCAGTTTTCAAATAAAAGAAACCGCATTGAAATCGGTCCATTCGTTTGGGAGCTACAGTGTCATAGACAGACACACAGAGAGGCAAAGGGGTCAGATATATCTCCCTCTTTTTGCGTCGGGGGTTAATAACATATTCTAACTTGTGGTTTATGAATCCGGCTTAATTTTTTACACAAGCCAGCTAGATTTTTAGACAAAATTTCAAAGTAGTATTCTTTGAATTAATGACATTTTAAAATTTACTTTAGAAATACTCACTACTAATAAGGCCCCCTCAGAACACAATACATTTTTAATGCTTTTAGCCTGGATTTCAAAGTAACTTGTAAAAAGTTAAATTTTTTAAAGAATTTGCAAGAGTTTTCGAACTCGCCCTTTTTCAAAAAAGTCAACATTTCAAGGAAAATACACCGTTTTTTCAAACAAGAATACAGTTTGGCCCAAACAAATTCCCCTTGTAAAAACACTAAAAATTCGTCTTTTAACCCTGTTATTCTGTTGGGGGCACTTCAGCACAAAAATGAATACGGTTTCGTCCAATCGTCAGAATATTAGAGCATGTAAAAATAAATAAAATAAGATAATAATGATACTTTAAGATGTAATTATTTATGATCCTATTAGAAGAGTAAAAACATCTCCGTGTTTATAAATTCCTTCAATTGATAAAGTTTTCCAATCTAAAAACATTTAAAATTAGGAATTTTACCTGGTTTTCAAAGATTTTACCCTGTTTTGAATTTTGTACTAGTAGGCCCCCTCAGAACACAATACATTTTTAATGCTTTTAGCCTGGATTTCAAAGTAACTTGTAAAAAGTTAAAAATTTATTTAAAGAATTTGCTCGGTTTTTCAAAATCACCCTTTTCAAAAAAGTCAACATTTCAAGGAAAATACACCGTTTTTTCAAACAAGAATACAGTTTGGCCCAAACAAATTCCCCTTGTAAAAACACTTAAAATTCGTCTTTTTACCCTGTTTTTCTGTTGTACTTCAGAACACAACACATTTTTAATGATTTCAGCCTGGTTTTCAAGATAACTTTTGAAAAGTTAAAATTTTTAAAGAATTTGACCGGTTTTTCCAAACGTAACCCTTTTTAAAAAAGTCAAAATTCGGACAAAGTCCTCATGAGCGAAGCGAATTTTAAGAAATATATCCTGTTTTATCAAACGTAAATACGGTTGCGTACAAACAAATTTCCCTTTTAAAAACATTTAAAATTAGGAATTTTACCTTGTTTTCAAAGATTTTACCCTGTTTTGAATTTTGTACTAGTAGGCCCCCTCAGAACACAACACATTTTTAATGCTTTTAGCCTGGATTTCAAAGTAACTTGTAAAAAGTTAAAATTTTTAAAGAATTTGCCATAGTTTTCGAAGTCACCCTTTTTTAAAAGTCAAAATTCGGACAAAGTCCTCATGAGCGAAGCGAATTTTAAGAAATATATCTTGTTTTATCAAACGTGAATACGGTTTCGGCCAAGAAAAGTTACCATTTAAAAACTCTTAAAATTCGTCTTTTTACCGTTTTTTCTGTTGGGCTACTTCAGAACAAAAAATGAATACGGTTTCTTTCAAACAAATTTCGAACAAAATCCTCATGAGCGAAGCGAATTTCCCTTTCAAAAACACGCAAAATTAGAGATTTTACCTTTTCAAGTATATTTTAAAATTAATATTTTTCAGACTTTCCCTTGTTTTTAAAAAAGTTAAAAGTTGAAGGTACTTATTTTTTATTCAAACATACATTTTTTTTAAGTTAATACACTATGTTGAAACAATATATGTTGAAACTAATTGAAAAATTCATTTATTATGATGAAGTTGAGGATAAAGTTGATCTTCCACTATATGTTGAAACAATATATATATAACAATCCCATTTGATCCCGATTTCGCCAAAACGATCGTCGAAAATAGTTCCGTAAAACTAATTTGTAATATGTTACATCATTTGTGCAATAAATAGTGTGGTCTTAAAAAAAAGAATAAAAATTCATAGTATATTACATTATTATTTTATTTCGTACAATATAAAACAAAATGCATACCTACATATAATACTCCTATTTAAATAAATTTCAGCTTGTTAAAAATAAATTATCCCTCAAAATTGGTTTACTTAAATTAACGACTCCACATATAATTATAAATAAAGAATCTACAATGGAGACTAAATGTAACGGTAAAGTATTTTTGAATATCTTGAACACTTTAATTCTCGCGTTTACACGCTCAATATGTACGCGAGCGGAAGCTATATCCCTAGAGCTTAACGCCACAGACTTTGCAAATTGTTTTTGTTTTTTTAAGAATGCTGGCCTTACCAATTTAATACCATATTCATCACATACCTTGTCGATTAAAAAACCCTTATCGACCATGATTTGGTCTACATAGGGTTCTAATTGGTCTAATAATTTTGACTGTTCAAAAATACTTTTATCTGATGCCCTCCCCCCATAAGAAGGGCTTACATAACATATAAATCCAGACGGAGTAACAGCGGTCATATATTTCAAAGTATGATGCTTTTTATAATGCGAATATAACTTTATCCGACAACATAACTTTTTGGGGGTTTGTACAGGTATTTCAGTGCAATCTAAGACAATTCGTACTGTTTGGTAATTTTTAAAACAAATAGGTATATTTTGTAAGATATTTTCCTTTGAGGGCAAATAAATGAACAATTTTAAAATATCTGATAAAACCCCAACAGTTTCAAAAAAAAAAGTCTTACATGTTGGTACACTTATATCATAAAAAAAACACATAAAGCTGAGTATGTCAAATCCAATTTACATTTCATAAAGGTCAACAAAATACGTTCTTTAATTGATAAACGTTTTACACGGGAATCCTTTTTGACAATTAAATACGAATTTGCCAGCTGATCCAAAAATTCAAATGATGGAAGCCCAGTCAAAATTTTCAAAACTTTTTCAGTTCGAATAAGACTAACAACAGAAAACCAGGACATTTGTACTTGTGTGCTTTGATTAACAACACATTTTGAGAATGCATTGTTTGTGATTTCAGTTTGGGTACTTGCACTGACACATTTTTCACTGATTGTTTGATTAAAACTGGAAGATTGATTCAATTCTTCGAGTACTTCTTGTGAATGTGATGATGATGCAACACTGAACTGCATAAGAGTTGCCGCAGCTTCTAACTCAGCTGTTACTTCAAGATTGTCTCTCCGTGTTCTCATGGTGGTCTCATTTTCAACTAATTCCTCTTGGATCTGGAATTTTAAAAAAGATCTGTACTAAACGTTTTTTGTATTGTTAAACTTACTTGTCTACGATGGTTTAATCGCTTCAACCTGTTCTCCTTTTGCTTCATCATGTGTTCAATATCTCTTTCTCCTGCTTTTGGCAAATTCTGAGTTGGTATGGCAGTTGTTTTTAAAACCCTCCTAGCAAAACAACCTGTTTGAAAGTTCATGTAGGTATTAAGTATGTATTAACATTTCCTAACTTCATTTCTTACATTCATTTGGGGTGATATAATCTTCTTCTGTAAAATGCCTAGAACACACTCTTGTATTCGAACGTACAGGTTTACCCATTTTTATATTCTTCACCCAGAGAACACGTCTTTTAACCCGAACTTTATTTCCAAAAGCATCTGTATATAACATCGTTTGATCCACAGTGGGAAATCGGTGATACAATAGTTCAGGGTTTTTCTTCATAACTGCATTGCAACCATATACGCAACAATTAACATTGGACTTACTAGTGGATCTTCTTTTATTAATGTCTTTCAAAATACAATCCATATTGGCCTCCGTTTGATTTATTTTTCCGAAAATAACACTCAAACACTCCACACCGTGAAACGTCACTAACTTGGTATCCCACCAAGACGCACGTGTCTGTTAGTACGCAATACGCCGTCAGAGGGCGTATCACTTGTCTTTAAAACACAATTATTATGATGAAGCTGAGGATAAAGTTGATCTTCCCGACTCGGGGCTTGGGCGATTACTATTAATGAATGAACAAAACATAAGATTATAGCTATGTATATGTACTTTCTCACCTGAAGGCTAATACTCGCTTGAGGGCTTCAATAAATGCATCTACTTGGACTTGCTCTATGAATACTAATCGTGTGTTTGGTTGCCCATGAAGAAATAGGGTGACTTCCCCAGGCACTGTATCGTCAAAAGTTTGTATGTCACTATCTTCCAAAAACGACAAACGTTCACCGTTAGAATAATAGAACAGCACAGTATCGGTTTTTAGGGTAACCTTAACAGCTTCTATCTGAGGGGACTCTCCCTGTTTATATGTTACCACGTAGGAGGACATTTTCGCTTTTCTGAACTTTATATTTCGACGTTCACGGGCAAACTGGCGAAAATTGCTTATCCTGTTTTTCATATTCATTTTATCTAAAATAAAAACTACCTATTCTCAGCATACATTAATTTCAACACCCATGCGGACCAATGGGCAATCCGCTTTACAGAGTCCAATAAAAGGCAGAGCACTTTAGCGCGCCAAATACAAAACGGAAAACGCTCGAACTCTTGTTACGTGTTTCTCCCTTCATGCAGAGGGGGTAGTTTGTGCTGCAGAGCGTGCACTCGTGCAGAGTTCAGCGGTGGTTCAGCGTTTTAAGCGGGAAAACATTTGTCCGTAAAAGTCACTGTTCTCTAGATTTTTGCGAACGCAATTTAAGTGTAAATAGTGAAGCTGTTAAAAAATCAGCAATTATTATTGCTTTAATTTTCTCGCTGCTATCAATTTATTAGTTCACTGTTCAATAGTTAATTGAAAAATGGAAAGGTATGTTTGAGGTTACGTTGTATAATTATTTATTAAGTATTGAATATTTTTATGTAAGTCCACCAACTTGTAATGCATGTCACAAGACATTTAGCAGCGTTTCGACAAAAAACCGGCACATGAAGACAATGCACAATATAATGATCGAAGAAAAAAAATCGAAACACATTCGTTGCCCTTTATGCCCCATAGAACAGGAAACTCTAGTAAACCAGGAAATGCTAATTAATCATTTAACAGAAATACACAAAGTAAGTATTAAAGAATTTGACATGAGTTTTAGAAATATGGAAGAATTTCAATTGTGGAGATCGAAGGAAAATAGAGAAGTAGATTATGCATGTGCTAGAAGTAAAAAAACGTCAAATGGTGACCAATTAATCTATTACAATTGTAACCGAAGTGACTCTTATGGTGCGTTGTTTAACGTAATTATAAAATGGATAATAACTGTTACAATGATGTGAATTTAGGCTTCCATAGTAGATGTACGAAGAGGGGAATGAAGACTGGGGGCACTATTCGAATTTCAGGAATATGTCCATCAAGGATAGTCGTTAGAATCTGTGGAAATGGTAACTTTTATGACTTCAAATTAATGGTAGTTATGGTGCAAACATTTTTAGGTATGGTGAATGTAAAATTTGTTGAAACACATGTTGGACATCAAAATGAATTAAGAACAAAAAGGTTAACGAAAGAAGATCAAATGATATTAGTGGAACAGTTGCATGCAGGAGTAACAAATGAAAGAATACTACAGGATGCACGAAAAATCAATGAAAACCAATTGGAACGAAAAAATTTAATAACAAGAGGGGATTTAGAATATTTGATAAGGAAATTTAATGTGAATAAAAGACGAAATGCAGATGACATGGTGGCTACAGCTTTGAAAATTGAAGAGTGGAATAAAGATGGGAAAAATTATGCATTTTTATTTAAGAGAAAAGGTAACTAAACATTCATATAAATTACTTAGCTTTTTTGCATGAAATATTAGTAAAATTGTAATAGTAGTGGGTTAAGTTTTTAGAAGTAGATATTTATAGGGTAACTGGTGAAAGAATGGTGGTGGAATTAATATGTTTCAGGTGAAAGTCACCCTGACCTATTAGATACAGATTTTGCAGTTGGATATATGAATGAGATAATGGAGAAGAAATTGAAAGATTTTAAACGAATAATTTGTATTGATGGAACACATGGAACCAACAGAATGAATTATGAGTTAACAACAATTCTAATAAGAGATGAAGATAATATGGGTTTCCCAGTGGCCTTTTTAGTTTCTAATAGATTGGATACATTAATTCAGAAAGTTTTTTTTGCAGCGTTAAAGGAAAAATTAGGTCACATTATTGAAGCTGAATATGTGATGAGTGATGATGATCCAAAATAGTATAATGCATGGATTGACATAATGAAGACTGAAAGAAAACCACGACGACTACTATGTAGCTGGCATGTTATTAAGAATTGGAACATTCAAGGACGATCAAAGTTAAAGAAACAAGAAAATAGACTCAAAATGAAAAAAGAGATGCGAAACATTTTAAAAGAGACCAAAGTCGAAAAGTTTATAGAACTTAAGGAAAATTATTTCAACCATCTAATGGAGGAAAATGAATTTTCTTTTTTAAATTATTTAAAAAAGTATAATTTTTATACCATTTCAAATAGGAAAAGGGTGTAATTATTATTACTAGAGCTGTGCGGTTGAAATTTATTTACCCCCACTATCGGCCCACAGTGCCGATCGCTACACAGCCTTGCCTTGCTTGCTTCTCGCTTTTCAGTTGTGGATTATTTTTGATAATTCACACAAATAGTTTTATTGTCAGCGAGACGGACACCTGAACATTATTAAAATTATGATTACTCTTATTTCGTGAATATGGATTTTAAAATCATGAACTGACATGCCGTTAACATTATTTTTCGCGTAATTTTCTTCGCGATACTTAACGTCGGTTGCAAGCCTATGGCCTGCCGGAGTGGGGGTCAATTCGCAGCGTTTAAATTTCAACCGCACAGCTCTAATTATTACTTTCAGGAACTACTTTCAGAATGAAGATAGGATCATGATGTGGGCTCACTGTTTTAGGATTAATGTTGGAATTAACACGAATATGGCCATAGAATCCCTAAATAAAGTATTGAAACATAATAAAATGAAGGGGAACCGTAATATCAGGTAAAAATAATTATTAATGTTTTAGTGAATTACATAAAATATAGTAATTTATATAACTATAATATTAATAGCTATATAAAACTATTATATTTCCAGAATTGAAAAATTATTAGACATGTTAGAAGAACTAGTAAACGAAAAAATGTGGAAAAAAATTTTGAACACTGAAAGACCAAATGCCAATAATTATCAACATAAAGTAACAGCAGAAGCACATAAGAAGGCGGAAAATATGACAAATTGTGTAGACACAATTGAGTTTGGTAAGTTCAGGGTAAAATCATCAACAGGTAAACATTTTTATTGCGTGTCTTATAATTTAATTTGTGATAAAGATTGTCGAAGTATGTATTGCAATGAATGTAAAGTATGTTTCCATAGATATAAGTGTGAATGTCCAGAATTTAGTGTGAAAACTGCTGTATGCAAGCATATACATGCGGTCGTTCTGTATGAAAGGAGAGTGCATGGATCTGTTTTAGATACTGTAAATACAGGTACAGGAGAGCCTTCAAATGCTAATGAATATACCAAAAACAAATACCAGGATGACTTAAATTTATTTTTAGAAGAACAAATGAGTGAAGGAAATAATCCAATTGATTTTGAAAGACAAAAAAAGGTGCATTAAAGAATTGTGTTTTGAAGTATGATTAGTAAAATTGATTTTTTTTATAGATTGAGCTAGATGAAGTGGTTAATTATACGATGAAATTAGATAAGGGGTCTTTTGAAAAGTTTATGAACATGTTTAGGAATTTTAAGAATAACCTGGAGGGTGCAGAGACGACTGAAGTACTTAATAAGAAGAGGAAAATAGAAAAACAGACGTATTATCCAAATAGAAAATAAAATGGTAAAATTTGTGAGAAAATTATTGGTGGGGGCAGTAGCTAGTCTGGTGGTAGATTGCAAATAAAACTGCTTTTATAAATTTAGTTGTTTTCTTGTACATATTCTTGAAATAAAATTTATAGTTATTACTGTATGATGGATTCTTTAAAAATGTAGTTAGTATATAAATTTGTTAGTGTTTTTTATGGGTGTTACTGGTGTTGACTAGAGCTTGTTGGTTTGTAATTTGTAACCAATATATTTCTCAAGTGATTTGTGTTGTTTTTTTTTTTAATAAATATATTGCACAATTTATATGTGTATTATTTTATTGTCGTCTGAAGCATTTTCCGAGTTTTAAATTTCATTTACGTTCCAATTTTATACAGTGCGTTATTTAACGAATGCATGGATTTACATGGTGTAAACTTCATCTCGTTTTAATGGTTTTTCTACTGCGAGTTTCCAAACTCTGATTGATATACGCTTACTTTACATTATTTTTACACGTTATGACAGTTTTTGAAGTCCAAAAAGTTAAAAAAAATTATTCCGATTTTTAATGTTTTATACTTCATTGTCACCAAAGAATGTCACAATAAAATGATAATGACATACCGTAACCATTTAAACCTTTGCTTGAGTTGTATAAATGGACGTTTTTTATTTGTATGTAAAAGTCAGGGGACACGTCTTCAAAAATATTAGATATCAGGTAAAGTGATTAAAATGATGGAATTATTTTAATTTTTAATTGGACTATCTGTGGCTCTAAAAATTATCAGAATTTGTAAAAAATAATGTGAACTAAGCGTGTACTTGCAGCAGAAAAACCATTAACACGACTCAAAGTATACGGCATGTCAATCCCTATAATGCATCCGTAAAAAAAACCCACTGTACAAGATTAATTTTAAATTTAAATTACGCGCCATTGGAAGACCCCGCCTCTTCTGTGTAATTGGTCCGCATGGGTGTTGAAATTAATGTATCCTCCTATTCTCTCAAACTGTAAACATCAGGTAAACATCATGATACAATAAATACTAGGTATGATATTGCGCACGTACGGAGTGGGGGAGTGACGTCACTGGGTGAGTAAACACAGGCATTTCGCGCGTATTCTGCAACGTTTTTCTGTCTTCCACGTATTTTTCAGAAGGTTTAGTGGCTGCACGTTATGTTTTAATAATTTGATAAAGTTACAACGATGCGTTGTGGCGTTTTTGGGTGTAATAGCGATAAACAATCAAGACATTTTCAAAAAGACATACAATTTTATTCGTTTCCAAGGGACAAGTATGGGTTATTTCTTGTCGTACGGACTCATTTATAGTAAAAAATGCAAGAGTGTGTTCACAGCATTTTAGTGAAGACGATTTCGAGCGAAATTTGCAACACGAACTTCTAAATTATCTTCCTAAAAAAGGAAAAAAAAAAAAAAAACTAAAATTTGGAGATCAGCCAAGTTAGTTAAAGACATTTGTTCTAGGGATGAAATCTCAGAAATTAAGTAGGTTATTTTACTTGAATATTGATATAAATCAAACAAATTCAATTAAAACAAAAAGTTCCCAAAGAACATCTTGTAGTACTCTTTTTTTAGCAATTATTTTATATTTTCATTTATTTTATAGCACTTAAACTAATGAAGCAAATGCTATTTCGGATGATAAAACAGAATCTACAAGTAAATCTGTTGGGTATATTGAACATTTATTGTATTTACTCAAGGATTCTTTTTTTTTGCACAATTACTTTTATGTTTGCACGGTTTTTTTTGCATGATGTATATTTCTTTCTCAAGGGAAACGATTATTTGTATATTTAATTATGTTTTTTACGTAGTACATACAAGTACAGATCAAGATATACAGACAGAAGATCTAGAAGCAAAAATTGCTTATCTTAAAAAACTAAACGACGAACTTTCAAAAGAAAATCAAGCTATGAAAACAATTTTCACTCCAAGACAAATCATCGAAAAATTGTTAATTAACATGTAGGTTACAGTTCAATAGTACATTGTACTTATTTTTAGTGGTTACTTTTTCTTGTACTCAGTTTTTGAAAGATTAGAACAGAATTTCTAAAGTAGATTTATATTTAAGATAATTATGTTCACGTTAAATGTACATAATTACCATAACAACAAGTCTGTTCATGATATCAAATAAAAACCTAAAAAAGCAAAAAATGGATAATTCTGAAGATCTTGGCATTTTCAGATAACCTGTGCGCTACTAACGAGAAAAATAGCACTTTTTTTATAATTATCTTCAAATTAAAGCCGCACTTTTCTATTGAGTACACGAAAAATAAAATTAAACGCGAAATTTTAATTTGATGCACACAATAGAAATACGTATCAAACTCCGTTAAATTCGTTTTTACAATTTAATTCAGATAATTCACGTAAATTTAGTTTTCAGGTTGTTTAATGCAGCATTACAATTATTATATTATAATATAGAGGTTGTACAACACATTTTTTTAAATATAAAATAAATTATAACAATAAAAATAAAAAATATTAGCGATTCTTCGTGCTTTTGTGTTGAAATCCCAATAGTTCTACTCACCGAGTGACGTCACTGCGCGAACTGGTTTCATTTTGAGCCGCACGAGTATCATACCTAGAGAATTATTATATCATGGGTAAACATCAAATGTGTCCATGGGACAAGACTACACGCGCGCGCAGTTGTATGTATAAATGGTTGCATATGCTGCATACCGTAAAATTAAATCGAGCGGCTTTTATGTTGATTAATAACTCACATTCCTAATAAATCGCTTTGTTTTTAAAAAAGTACAACAATATCCCATTTCTTTATCTAAGAGAACAAAAACAACAATTTTAAACAGATTTTAAAAATTTATGCACACGTTCTTTCACTTCTTCTGGAGATAACTTTGTGATTAAAATAACAGCAACTCGTAATTTTTCGCAATAATTCAACTTCTTCATCTATATACCATATAACCGAAGTATTTTTAATAATGTTTTTTAAGGAGAGAAATATTAAGTTGCATCACTCTGCATTCTACATACTGTAATTTTTTTTTGTCTAATTAATATCCAAAGGGTATTGTATCAAAGTTTTTTAGAATAACTCTCTTGTCATAAACAAAACCAAATTCCGTTGTTTCTACTTTATTTAAAAGTTCTTTAGTTTTAGTATCTCTGGTAATTCGATTATATTGTGTACTGATTTTTACTGTCTTTGTGTCCTAAACTATTATTCATGCTATCGGAATTAATCTTTTCGGACGTTTCATAGTTTAATGTAAATCCTTTAATTTTGCAAACAACTTTACCTGTATTAGTTTTATAACAATAACTTTTTGGACCTGTTGATACCCAATCAGCAATCCATACGTCCTTACCTAATTCATCGGTCCAATCTCCCAATAGACAACCTGTTTTAACAGTGTTTTTACCATTATCTATATATACAATGCTATCTGTATCATAATATATTACACTTTCTCCTAATATGTCTAACATTTCGTACAATCTTAGTCTAGCATTTGCAGTTGTAAAAGCAGCTATAAATATATTAGTATTGAAATCATTTTCTAGATAGCAACCTTTATACTTGTAATCAATTTGTAACATATTTTCGTTTAATTCATTGATATGTATATTATCAAGTCTGTCGTCTAATAAGATCTCATAAAATCTCTTAATATCTGTAACATACTCTGTTGCCCCCATATTTTGTCTTTGACCAAATTTACCCCATAAGGAATTTAAACAGATTTTTGCAACAGCTCTCTTTCCAGGATTATTTTCTATTTTACCCAATTCAATACCTAGATTCTCTTTTACGGCTTTTCTATATTCTTCTTCTGATTCAAAATCATTTCTCCATTCACTTGTCTCTAACTTTATTTTCATAAATGCTTTTACATATCCTTTAAACAAATAACTCAATTTTTGTTCAAAATGCCAAACTTCATCAATAGTTATTATTTTGTATCCTTTTTCAATTGCTTTTCTTACTTCGTTTGTACACCAGGTTCCTCTGATAATTCTTTGAGATTCCGTATGAGTACACTTATCTTGTGGGGTTTATGTTGGTCAGGACTCAATGACTCTCAATCCCCAACAATTAACAATTTATTCACAAAGGTTCACACAAGAGAAAATACAAAGCAGTGTTCACGTCAGAGCGAGACTCTCAGAAGTACTAATTCTCACTAGCCCTCTCGTGGGGGGAAACGCCGCGGTCAGGTCTACATAGATGGCGCCACATCACTCCTTCCCCAGTGAGAGGGTTGCGAACACTCGAGCGATTAGAAAGTTTTTACTATTATTTATGTACAATGAGTTATAAGCATTACATTTTAGTGAAATTGGACGAAATCTTTGTAGCGCGACGGAAATCTGACGCGTCTCCCTGATCGGGCGGTCTGCTCGCTTCGTGCTTGTTGGTTGGGCGCGACTGTCTCGGCGCCAGAATTGGAATCGTCACTAGGGACTTCATCTGGTGGGTTGGCGGTACGGTTGGTACTCGTGCATGGAGTGAAATCTGTCATTCTTTCGACGTATGCGGGTTTTAACCTATCAACGGATACGTTTGCAGCCCTACCCTTAATTAGCAAGGTGAAAAACTTGTCGTGGCGTTCCAGCACTTTGAAAGGACCTTCATATGGGGGCTGAAGTGGTTTCCGTATGAGATCCACTCTCACAAACACAAACTCTGATTGCTGCAAGTTGTTTGGCATATGGACGTAGGGCTTGTTGTGGTGCCGTGCTGCTGGGTATTTTAGGCACTGCATTCGGGCTTTCAACTGCTCCACGAACTGGTTTGTCAGCGGGGGCAGTGTCTGTGGGTTCGACGTTGCTGCCTCAAACATGTCGCCTGGAAGCCGGAGAGACGTACCGTAAACTAAGTCGGCTGCAGATGTATTGATGTCTTCTTTTAGCGTTGTTCTTAGGCCTAATAAGACTAGAGGTAGGGCGTCAGTCCACTTGCTATCGTGGCACATGAGAGATGTCTTCAGTGACCGATGGAAACGTTCAACTAGACCATTACTCGGTGGGTGGTAGGCTGTGGTTTTAATGTGGTGTGTGTCTAGCATCTGTGTCAG